GAAGAATATATAATCTGCAGCTTAGAGGGTGAAATGTTCTGTAAATGTCAGTTAAATCCATCTGATCAAGTCTGTCATTTAAGGTTACTGTTTCCTTGTTGAACTTTTGTCTGGAAGATCTATCTAGTGATGTCACTGGGGTGTTAAAGTATCCTACTATAACTATATTGCTGTCTATCTCTCCCTTAAATCCTCCAACAGCCTTTTTATATATTTAGGTGCTCCTATATTGGATGCATATATGCTTACTAGGGTTAAATCCTCTTGTTGGATCGATCCCTTTAGTACTGTGCAGTGGCCTTCATTGTCTCTTGTTATGGTCTTTTCTTTGAAGTCTATTTTGTCAGATATAAGTATTGCTACCCCTGCTTTTATTTATATTTGCTTGGTAAGTTTTTTTCCATCCCTTCACTTTCATCCTATATGAGTCTTTTGTTCTGAGGTGGGTCTCTTGTAGACAGCATATATATGGGTCATGTTTTATTGTCCATTCAGCTACACTATGTCTTTTGATTGGATCATTTAATCCATTTACATTAAAGGTTATTATTGATAGGTACTTATTTATTGCCATTTATATTCTTTGTGTCCATGTTCCTCTCTGTGTGTATTTCTTCTTTGTACAGCAGTCTCGTTAACATTTTTTTTATAAAATATATTTATTCATTTATTTCTTTATTGCACAAAACCTGAATATCATATCGGTAGTGCTGTAAGCAAACATTTAACATTTCTTGCGTCGCAGGTTTGAACACAATAAACTCCTTTCACCTTTTTTTGTCTGGGAAGCTCTCTATTTCACCTTCAATTTTGAATAATAGCCTTGCTGGATAGAGTTGTCTTGGTTTCAGACCCTTGCTTTTTATTACTTTAAATACTTCTGGCCTGTAGTGTTTCTGTTGAGAAATCAACTGACAACCTTTTGGGAGCTCCCTTGTAGGTCATTGACTTTCTGTCTCTTGCTGCCCCTAAGATTCTCTCTTTGTCTTTAACATTTGCATTTCAATTATGATGTGTCTTGCAGTGGTCTCTTTGGGTTCATCTGGATTGGTATCCTCTGTGCTTCATGAATTTGTATGGTTTTTCTTTCACTAGCTTAAGGACGTTTTCTGTCATTATTTCTTCAAACAGGTTTTCTATCCCTTGCTCACTTTCTTCTCCTTCTGGTACCCCTGTGATGCATATGTTGTCCCAAAGCTTCCTTAAACTATCCTTATACTTTTTAAGTATTTTTTCGCCCTGGCCAGTTTGGCTCAGCAGTTAGAGCATCTGTCCGCAGACCAGAGAGTCCTGGGTTCGGTCCCCGCTAAGGGCACATAACTCGGTTGCAGTTTGTCCCCAGCCCAATCCGGGTTGTGTGGGTGGTGACCAGTTGATGTGTCTCGCTCATATTGATGATTCTCTCTTTCTCTTCCCCCCTCTCTCCCTCCTGCTCTATCTGAAGATAAATGCGGGTGATGATAAAATACATATATACATATGTATATATATATATACACACACATATATATATATATTTTTTTTACCTCATCTTCTAATTCACTTATTTGATCCTCTGCTTCATCAAACCTGCTTTTAAGTCCTTCCAGCATATTCTTGATGTCAGATGTCGTATTCTTCATTTCTGCCTGGTTCTTATTCATAAGTTTTTCATGCTAATATAGCTTCCACTAAGTTTCTTGTAGTTCCTGCTAAGTTTCTTGTAGTTCCTGTCTGGTGTGGCTCAGAGGATTGAGCATCATCCCATGGACTGAGAGGTCCTGGTTCGATTCCCAGTCAGGGCATATGCCCGGGTTGCGGGCTCAATCACTAGTAGGGGGCATGCAGGGAGCAGCCAGTCAGTGTTTCTATCTCTCTCCTTTTCTCTCTTAAAAAATCAATAAAAACCAATTTTAAAGCATTTCTTGAAGTTCTCACTAAGTTCCTTGAGCATCTTTACAACCATTACTCTGAACATTATGTCTGACAACTTGCTCACTGCCATCTCTTTTAGGTCTTTTTCTGGCTATTCCTCTTCTTTTTTTTTTTCTTCCACTTTGAGGGTTGTTTATTTCCCCTCATGTTAATTGTCTCTTTGTGTTTGTATCTATGCATTAGGTATACTTGCTACAACTCCTAGTCTTTGTGGGGTGGACTTTTGTAGTAAATGTTTCGTAGACTCAGTGGTGTGGTCTCCTTGTACTACAGAGCTGTATGCTCTAGTAGTTATTGGGGCTCTCCTGTAGATAGTGGGTCTTGATGGTTGTTTTCTCACTCTGGGAGGTCTCTCCTCTCAGCCTGGCTAACTGTACGGCTTAGCATGGCCATGTCATGTGCACTGTTGTACAGGTGCTGACAGCGCAAAACAAACCAACCAAACAAACAGGGACACACAAAATGTCCTGACAACAGCAGCAAAAACAACCACAAAGGAAATGAGAAGTAGGAAAGAGAACAAGAATAATGAAAAAAAAAAAGAGAGAGAAAAAGATAATATTACTAATAGTAAAATAAAAATAAAGAGAATACTGGATGAGAAAGGGGGCAGAAAAAAGACTCTGAAAGGAAAGGAAGAGCAAAATATAAGAGTAGGAAGTAGGAAAAGGAAAATGGTAAAAGAAAAAAAAAAGGCAAGACAGAATGAAAGAAAAAAGTTATACTAGGTAAAAAAAAGAGAGAGAAAGGTAAAGTGAATGAAAGAATGAAAAATAAAAAGGAATAAAAAGATAGTGTAAGAAAAGGAAGGCGACCAATAAGTGATATGAAAGAAACAAGAGAGAAAAAGGCAAAAATATTAACAATAATGATACCAAAGCAAAATAGAAGAAAATATTGAAAAAGAACAAAACAGTCCTGGCTGGTTTGGCTCAGCGGTTAGAGCGTCGGCCTGTGGTCCAGAGAAACCCAGGTTCGATTCCCGCTAAGGGCACATACCTCGATTGCAGTTTGTCCCTGGCCCTGGTTGGGTCGTGTAGGTGGCAGCCACTCGATGTGTCCCTTTCACATCGACGTTTTTCTCTCTCTCTCCCCCTCCCACTCTATCTGAACAAAATATTGAAAAATGTCCTCAGGTGAGGATTAAAAAAAAAAAGGAAACACACACACACAATCTAGCCAACCAAGTAAAGTTCATCTAGGCAGTTTATGTTGTCTGAGGCTCACTGTTTCATATGCTGATTTCTGTTCTCCCAGGAGGTACTTTTGTGTCAGCCAATGTCAGGAGCTGGGCATCCTGTTGTAGCTGTGGTCAGGCTGTGGCTCTCTGAGGACTGCCTCCACCTCCCAGCTACCCCGCCTTCCCCCCCTTAGGTTGCCTGGTCTTTCTCCAGTTTCTTCCTAAGAGAGTCTTTAGGGTGGAGCCAGGCTAGGGTAGCTAGTGTTAGTGGGCCTCTTGCTTAGAGACTAGGCTATCAGGCACTCAGTGAGGGGAAACGAATCTCTGCTCAAACCAAACTCCTCAGTCTCTACCTTATCCTCCAACTCTGGTTCCCCCTTAGGTGGCCTTGTGCAGGTTCAGGTTGGATACAACCTGCCGCCTTTTCTGCAGGAGACGTTTCAGCTGCCCTGGGCTTAGTGGGATTAATTAGAAGAGTCTCCAGATTAGAATGTTGCCTGCCCAGCCCACAGGAAGGGACTAAGCATTTCCTCCTCGTCCGGGACAATAGCCTCCGATGGCCTTAGTCATGGAATATACTGCTCTGGGCTGTTCTCCCAACCATCACTGAACTGTGCCCAGTAGGGATGTCTAGGGCTTCAGAGAGCTGATCCAAACCCTTTCCTATTAGGGGTGGTGTTCCCAGGCTGCAGGAGCGGTAGATATGCTCCACCCCTCCTTCCCAGGACTGGCTGGTTGAACTCACAGGGCACTCAGATCAGCCTCTCCACAATGCATTCACAGAGCCCAGCTCTTGCTCATCTGTCTCCCCAGTACAAAGCTTCCCTGGTATGCCATAGTGTGCTGCTCAAAAAAAGCCCTGCTCTGCAAGGACTTGGCACCTTTACCCATAGGTCCAAGCAGGAGTTACAAAAGTCAGCCCCACACTGGACTCTGATCTCTCTGCATGGCTGGTCTTAGTAAACTGTGGCTGAGACCCCAGTTCTGCTCATGCTCCCAACTTTCCTCAGTGCTAGTCAGAAATCTTCCATCTGCCCTGCTGCCAACTCCCCAGGATGGAGCAGTCCTTGTGACTCCTCAGGTGGGGGGAAGGGTTCCAACACCACACTCAAGGTGAGAGTACAACCCTCGGCCCTCCCCCCAACCCCACAGCACAGCCAATGCAGCAGTCAGAGCCCAGGGTGAACCTCTCCCACCGGCGCTGCCCACGGTAGGCACACTCTCTCACTGGAAAGGCCTGGACCCAGCCTCCCAGGCAGACAGAGTTCCCCTGGACCCCTCTGCCCAGTGCTGCACGGGCTCTCCTTCCAGTCTCTGCTGTTCAGGGTGTGGGATCCCTGCGTGGGATGGAGCCCATACTCCCAAGGGGAGGGAGCTTTGCAGCCAGTATCACTTGGGCCTCTGAGCTGAGCACCAGCTCCAGGGTCTCCCCCTTTCCACGAAGATGTCCTCTCTCTTACCAGGCTCCATGGTGTTTCTTCAGTGCTCCTTAGACGAAATGTGCCCAATCAGCTACACTTTGTTTGTTTTGTTCTGGCTGACCGAGCAGTATTTTAGCTGTAAGTCCAGTCCGTGGCTGGGAGGAAGGACGCTCCTGTTATACCACAGCCATTTTGCCCCTCGAATTGACCAGCACTGTTACTGGAAGCACTTTGCTTTGTTACAGTTCATACAACCTTAAGTAAACAGTCAGTAGTGTTACTTATAATTGGAAGCATCTGAGGTAGGAGGAAAATCAATAGACTTTTATATATGTTTTATAGATTACCTCCCTAGTAATAAAATCTGGCCTCTGTCAGTTAGTTGTATGCAGTGGTTGATATTTTCAGCGATGTTTCCATTTGCACTCCAGGTGAAAGCCACTTCATCTCTGTTAGCTGGCATTAATGTGCTCCGATGTTTTTAGGGATCTTGTCCATAGAGCAGCTCATCAGCCGCGTGGGTGTGATTGGTGTGACCCTCATGGCTCTTCTGTCTGGATTCGGTGCCGTCAACTGCCCGTACACTTACATGTCCTACTTCCTCAGGTAATGGAACTTTGTCTCTGTTCTTTGTTCCCTTCTTGAACATAAATGTCATATCATGCCACCATCATTAATACTTCAATATAAACCTGACCCTGCCTTTTTATCCTTTTCCTCTGTCCTTTAGGCATTGACCTAGGAATCTTTCTCAACAAGTCTTATTACTTATATTACTTGCCCTTATTTGTACTACGTTTATTTATTTTAATGACAATCTCAATTTGACCCTCTCCACCCTATTCTCACCATCCCTCTTTTTAAAGGCGAGTTTCTAGTGGACAGTAAGGTGGCGAATCCCGAGAAATGAGTTCCTCCCAGAAGTGGAGCAGTAGAAGACGATGCCAAGTTAACAGTGTGCTTACACATGCGTCATAGGTGTCACTGAATGAAAGCTCAGGGAGACTAAGAGAATGAGTTACCTTCCATTGCCCCATTGCCCCAGAAGTATTAACTATAAAAAATGATAACAAAAGTATTTTTGCTCATTTTAATTTTTCCTAGAAAAAGGTTCTTGAATTGCTTGGAAACAATGGAAGTATATGTGTTTTTCTAGCTGCCTTGTATTATACCCAAGGATCCACAAAGCCCAGCTCTCACTCGTCTGTCTCCCCAATATAAACCTTCCCCAGGGACACTGTGGGATGCCCCCCAAAAAACGTCCTGCTCTGTGAGGACCTGGCGCCCTTGCACCACAGGTCCAAGCAAGAGTTACAAAGTCAGCCTCGAGCAGGCTGGGGCTAAGAATCCTAGTTCTGTTCATGGGACAAACATCTTCTATCTGCCCTGCTGCCCACTCCCCAGGATGGAGCAGTCCTGGGGGAATGGTTCCAACCCAGCACTCAAGGTGGGAGTGCAGCCCTCAGCCCCGCCCCCCCCCCCCTTTTTGAGCCAAACACAGCATCGCAGCCTTTCCAGTAGTCATAAGCCAGGGAGAACCTCTCCCAAAACATTGCTAACAGTTTTTGCCTATTATAGGAACGTCACTGACATAGATATTCTCGCCCTGGAACGGCGACTACTCCAAACCATGGATATGATCATAAGCAAAAAGAAAAGGTAAGATATCAGCACATTAAAAAACTTGTACTATTAGAATTTCTCAACAAGAAAATTTAACTATGAATTAGTGCTAACAGGGAATTTCATTTACTGATTTTCATTATAAGTTAAGGTATCATCAGACTTAGTGTCTAGTCTTGTGTGAAAGAAAATTTTCAAATACAATTGTGTTTTCTGACTTTTGAGGAATTCTCTTGAGATAAATTGTTAGGATAAGTTATATTTGGCCCTGGCCAGTTTTTCTCAGTGGTTAGAGCGTCGGCCTGTGGACCAAAGAGTCCCAGGTTCAATTCCAGCCAAGGGCACGTGCCTTGGTTGCAGTTAGTCCCCAGCCCCAGTTGGGGTTGTGCAGGTGGCAGCCAATCGATGTCTCTCTCTTACATCGATGTTTCTCTCTTTCTCTCCCTCCCACTCTGTCTGAAGATAAATGTAAAAAATATCCTTGGATGAAGACTTTTAAAAAAGTTATATTTGAAGGTATTCTACATTGGATGTTTTAAAAGTCTATTATCCTGAATTTTTACACACTTTTCATGCTCGTCTTTAACCTTTTCAACTTCTTTTCTCTAACTACTTTAAAAAGTCATCAGGTTTTCAGCTGTTGTTTTGATTATTTTTAATGTGTGCTTGAAATGTATGTTTTCAAAGTGACATTTCTAGAAATTCATATCTCAGTAGGTAAAAACATAAAGCTTTAGACTCAGACTGTCTGAATGTGCACCTTTGCCCTACAACTCACAGTGACCTTAAACTAGTTACTTTATCTCCTTATGTCGTCGTTTCCTCATCTGTAAAATGGAAATAATAATAATGATCTGACATGTAAAGTTATTAGAACAATGAGTTATAACATAGCTAAGGAAAACTACTGAATTTATTTATCTCTGCGGAATAATCATTTGATTTTAATGCTTTACCTTCATTTATTCATTCATATATCTATTCACTTAGTAGTTATAGAAAGCCTAGTTTATTGCAGGCACTGTATTAAATGCTGAATAGTACATAGAAATGCAAAGATGGACAGGATAATTAATTTCTACCTTCATGAAGCTTATTAGTCTATTATCTTTATTAAAGTTATTATTACCCATATAAAAATGGTGACACGGAGACATTAAATTGCATGAGTGTTTTTCATTTTATGTTTCTTTCTTCAACACTTTTTTATAGTGAGACCCATGGTCAAGTCAAAGAAGCCTTAATGTAAGAGAGAACAACAGACATTAGAATGACAAAGAGGCCCAGATTCACCAACTAATTATTTGTCTCCATTTCCATATACCTTTACTAGGATATTGAAAGTAGATACACATATGTATTATTTATTTACTTAAATACTTTGTTTATATTTATTCTATACAGTTTATTTTACATGAATGAGCATGAATGAAGATTTTAAAAACATAACAATGAAAGCAACAGTATTCGATATTAGAAGACACTTAATATAAGAACAATATTATTTTGATTCCTAAGAACATTCTCCCTTTTAGTGTATTTCTTATATTTATACCAGATGAATATAAAGTCACTACCATGTCAAGTTTGAATGTGCACTTTTAAACCACCTTATCACTAGTCATAGTTAGTAATTGGCTCTGCTGTTCCCCTACAGACCCTGCCTAATCAGGATCTGGGATGGTTTGTGGTCCTGCAATAGGTCTTATTAATTTGAGTATTTCTCAGAGGAATCAGCCTTCCAACTTGACCTAGTTACCACAGTTCTCTACCCAGTAGAGCCAGCAGGGCAGACAGATGGCTACCATAACACTGGGGCCCTTGGAATTCATACAACTCCCTTGCTGTTTACCAGAACAGAGAAAAACTGTTTTCACAAACACAGACTGTCTTGCAGTTTAACAGCAGAGGGCATAGTGAGATGACATACACAAAAAATAGTGTCTTTTATAAACAAAAAAAGTTAATAGTTGAAAATGGGGACAGGAAAAAGGAACACTGTCTTCTCACTTGGAACACTGACTAGACGATGAGGTTTATAGTATTTGGGAAATGTTCATCAAAAACTTAGTTCAGATAGTAGGGACATGCTGGTTCAGTGATCAAAGCCTTTCAGGTCTTTTCAGGTTGAGAGAATCAGTGATTTATTTTGTTTTGTTCTTCTGTTAACTTAGATATTAAAGCCTTTGTGTTGGTAATCTATGATATAGCTGAAATATAGTCTCTGTTCACAAACAGTAGTAGTACAATTTTGAATTATGGTTTTTTGGAAGATAGAGAATATAGCTGTGCAACTACACCATGGTATAATGAAAAGACCTTGAACTAAACAGTCACATTACAATAAACCTGTTAAGTGATCTTGAGCAAATACTCATTTATAGAATGACAGGGTTGACTGAAGGGTCTATAGGATCCCTTTCAACCCACAAATTCTGAATGTATAAGTTTTCACATAGATTGTGACATACCAAAAAAACCAAAACAAAGTACTAGAGTCTATAACATGTAAAAGTTAAGTGCAAGCTATTATTATGAAGGAAAAAAAAAATCTTAACCTCTATCCTTGAGTTAGGACTTTTTTAGTCTCTCTTTTGAAAATTTGTAGAGATAGGGAAAATATATATTCACTGGTGGAGTTTCAACACCAGCCACAGCTGCTATCAAACCATAGTAGAGGAAATTTCCAGGAATGGCACCAAATAAAGATTTCAAGCAATTTTTTAATAGAAAATCATAAAACCTGGACAAATTATTTAAAACAGGTATTTGAAAGCACTGGAAAATAAACAGAGACAAGTCAAACTGTGAGAAGAGCGTCAGGTAACTAACTGCATGTTTGTGGCATTTCGCCCAGTTGTGCTCTTCAACCAGCACCCACCCCCACCCACCACCCCCATATCCACCCAAGTATACCGATTGATAGCGTTCAAATCAGCAAATAACTGGAAATCTAGAGGGAAATTTTTGGAAGCAAGAGAAATGCAGAAGGATAAGATATAGATTGTAAGTATAAACTCTGCCCAAATCTCTGCCTCGTTATTAAGCAATACATATGCAAAGGAAACACCAGGCAGCCTAAGAAACACAGGCAGAAAACTAGAAGGGGGTTTGCCCTTGAGACCATCCATAAAGACCGCATGCTGTATGGTTCTACTTATATAACATCTTTGACATGACAAAATGGAAATGGAAAGCAGATTTGTGGTTGCCAGGGTTTAGAGAGGGGTTGGCGATGGCAGGAGGGAAGTGGGCTCTACAGGGCAACATGAGGGATCCTGTCGTGACAGAAATGTTCCTGCCTTGCCCTGGTTGTGTATTGTACCAAAAATCTGCAAGATGTTTCCAATGGGAAAAGCTGAGGAAAGCGTGGACTCTCTACGTATTATTTTACAACCACATGTAAACCTATAATTATCTCAAAATAAAACATTTAATTAAAAGAGAAAAGTATGCCTGGCAGTGTGGCTCAGTTGGTTGAACATCACATGGATATTCTCCCCCCTCTGTTTCTCTCCCTCTTCCTCTCCCTCTCCCCCTTCCACTCTCTCTAAAATCAATAAACATATCCTTGGGTGAGGATTCAAAAATAATAATAGTAATAAATTTTAAAAATAAAAGTAATTGCTGACTTCCCACCAGAAATGATGGAGACCAGAAAACAGTATGGTAGCATATTTAAACCATAGTAAACATTTTTCAGCCTCTTCACTTGAAATCAATCACCAAATCTCAGCCAAGTGCATATGTTTTTCCAGATTGTAGGTTTTCAAAAGGCATTCAGCTAATAATAGATATATTCTTGTTCTGAACCTACCCCTGTTTATAAAGAAATAATAGTGATGATTATCAAGATAAAAGTCAACTGCTTATATGGTACTTCATATTGGTTTTTTTATTCCTTTTTACCACATCTCAGGAAATTTGTCATTGCTTTTTCTTTTTTCTTTTATTTTTATATCATCTGAGAATATTTTCCAATTGATGTTTTAGATAGAGTTGAAGGGAGGGAGGGAAACAGAGAGAGAGAAATATCAATGTGAGAGAGACCCAGGGATTGGCTGCCTCCCCCGCATGACCCTGACCGGGGCCAGGGATCAAACCTGCCCTTGACCGGGAATCGAACCCTCAACCCTTCAATCAGCAGGCCAGCACACTTAACTGCTGAGCCAAACAGGCCAGGGCACTTTTTTTTTTTTAATATACTAATGTTTATTTTTTACATGCAACTTATTTGATACAAGGAAAAATAGTTTAGAGGCAAAAATGATAAAAGTGAAAGAGAATTGTTTGAAACAAGGCCATGCTTGTCTGTGCAGCCAACTCTCACTTCTAGGGACTATCCCTCCGCCTGTAATGGGGCCACAGTTCAGGGTCAGTCACCTGTACGTAGACACTGAAACGAAGGAAAACAGAAATGGGCCCTGTCTCCCTCTCTGCCCACTGCCTCTCCTTTAATCCAGCACGATAAGCTGAATGAACTTTTAAATGAGTGGGACAGAATGTCTTTCTTATGTGTATACTTGCTCCAGCTTTCCCAACTAGGAAAATAGGAAAACAAGGGGCTATGACTGTGGTCAAGTCAAAACCTCCCTAGGTCTGAGCCTCTTCTTGGTTATTAATTACATCTTCCATCGGTTCTGAGTTACAGTGAAGGTGTGTATAATTAAAGGAAAAGGCAGAACGAGCCTAATTGGAGCTATATTCCATTCACTCAGTATCCAGGCAAAGGTCATTTTTGAGGAGGAAATAGTTGAGTCAACGTGACCAGCACACAATAATATTCTTTATTGTTAATACCATTTTAGCCAATAGCTTAAAAAATTTAGCCCACAGAAATACCATTTGGTATTTGGTCCCATTGGTACCATTTGCTCAAATACCAATGCTGCGTCTTCCTCCTCCGCACTTCTGTCTCTTGCGACCCAAAAATGTCCACCTGAGTTAGTTTTTTCTTTAGTCTTACTACTCTATACAGACTCATGCTGGTTTATTTTAAGCCTGTAGGCTTTGAGCCATTATACCCTTCAAGTAGCCATGTGTGTACAAGTGATCTTAGTTTTCCTCACAAAGACTCTGTTGTTAATACCTGTGTGGTTGTGGTAGGCTACAGCATGCCAGCAGCTACCACTGAGGCACGGGTTCTCCACAGACGGCGAGGCCAGGAGGAAGGCACAGTAGTTTCCTGTTCACTTACTCAGTAGTGGGAGGAGACAAGTCAGAGGGAGAATGGTCATGCTTTAGACGAGTCCAGGTTTGTGTGATTTTGATGGGTTTTTTTTCTTTGTGTCTGCTTTTGGAAAGAAACACTTATTGAGTTTCTACCCTGTACCTGGTCCTTTATCTGGTTGTGTTAGCTATTATTTTACTTTGTCCTTAAATGATAACAGTAATAATTATTACAGCTACCCAAAGATGAGGAAGTTTAACTGTAAGGCCTCGCACTTTCCGAACGGCAGAGCCAATCCTCAGATTTATTACCTACTCCAAATTCTGTGATGGTCACCTAGGCCACACTGCTTTGGGGAGCGTGCAGTTTCCCTCAACTGTAAGTCGTAGAAAAGTGGGACTCCCGAATTTGCATCCTTCCCTGAACACCAGCAGGTTAAAGGGGCTGGAAGGGGGATGAGAATGCACTATGAGGGTTTTTGCTCTCTTGCAGAAGTCTTTTGTTGCTGATGATTGGACTGTCTGTATGTTTCTCATTTCAGGATGGCAATGACACGGAGAACTATGTTCCAGAAGGGGGAGGTGCACAACAAGCCATCAGGATTCTGGGGAATGATAAAGAGTGTTACCACCTCGGCACCAGGAACTGAAAGTATCCTTTATCCCTCTGCTTGATTCCTTTTTTTATTTTTATTTTTCAATTACATTTGACATTCAATATTATATTAGTTTCTGGTATGCAGCATAGTGATTAGACATTTGTATAACTTACAAAGTGATCCTCCTGATACGTCTAGTCCATTATCACCGTACATTCTTTTTCTCAACTCTGGACCAAGGGCAAGAGAAGAAAAGTAGTATCGGGTAGTCTCTTCTAAGGTAGCTGACTGCATCCCAGAGTCTGGCCGGCAGGGCTAGGCCTAGGAAATACAGTGTGAACAGAGTCTTTTTTCCAACCCCAATAGATGATCATAAAGTTATAAAACCATTGTCTTTGAGCTGAAGGGCTTCTAATAAGTGAGTCTTTCCATTTTACAGATGAGAAAATAGACCCAGAGGAAGTTAAATCACACAGTTGTTTGTGGCAAAGACAGAACCAGAACTGTGGTCTCCCTTCCTCAGTTCTTTCCACTACACTACTACATTTCCCAGCTCTGAAAAACAACTACAAAACACCATGGCCCCAAAATGGATGGTTTGTATGTAAGACAATAAGGGCCTGTTTCTATCGCAGTCAGTTTTCCTAAACAAATTTTAAGCAGCTCTGTATCTCCAGTGACTTTTTAGTTTAGAAATCAAGGAGATTGGGTTAATGGATTTTTCTTGGCCCAGCTGTTTGCAGTGTTAAACTAATTCCCAAATTGAGTAACCAAATCTCTTTGAGTAACTATCAGGTCAAAACTTTGGGGGCCCAGGGGTGAGATAGCATAATCCTGAGGAAGTACAAGTTCCCTTTTGCTTCAATTGGAGGAAAAGGATGTAATCTGTTCTTGTTATAAATTATGACATATCTTTCTGGAGTCAAATGCAGGTAACAATTAGACTAAAGAAAGGTAGGATACCCGGGGGGGGGGGGGGGAACTGCTTTAAATTCATTTAATCAAGAAACAATTTTTTCACATATTCTAAAATGATGAACAGAAGAATATAGCTGCACTCCTCAAGGAGGTTACTGTCTAATCATGAGAGGGGCAGACATTAATCAGTTAAACTCTCTGTTTCTTGGCTGGATCGTGCCAATAGCAGCCACTACTGAGGAAGATACTGAAGGGCTAATTGGTGTAATAGTGGGAAAATCCCAGAGGCGGGAGGATTTAGGTTAAAGTCAATGCTTCTGCTTTAAAAGGGGCTGTCCTGTCTACTATTTTTATTACTTAAAAATCTATAAAAGCAAAAGTTTAGGTTGAAGCTATCTTAGTGACAGTAAGTTAAGTCAACCAAAGTATCAGGATTCTTTAACTTCTCTGAGCCCATTTTCCTAACTGGAGAGAATAATAGCACAACCTCACTGATCTTGAAAGTGGCACAGTGTAATGGAAAGAACAGGCCTTGGAGGGAGACAGACCTGACTTTGTATTCACACCTATTAGCTGTGTGGCTTTTGACAAGTTATTTGACTCTCTGAGCTTTACTTTCCTCATCTGAAAAATGGATAATAACACCTATCTCGCGGTATTGTTGTGAGAATAATAGAAGATAATGTCTGTAAAGAACTAAAGAAGGTAAAGTCTATAAATATTAGACTGTATTAGAACTTAGTAAATATTAATTCCTTTGTCTAATATTGTATTTGTTCAGATAATTTAGGAGAAACTATGCTATATTATAGGTGTTTGTCTTACTATGTAACCATTTGAGATTTCCAAGATTACATTTGACTTAGTCAAACTAGATAAAGCCAAAAATAAACAAAACCATCTGTCTGAGTTACTTGAGCTAACAAGAAAAGGAGTGGTAGGCGTGAGAGAGTCAGTCTGTCTGTCTGTGTGTAGGGAATCCAGTGGGTGTTTCCAGACTTAGTGGTGGAGGAGCCGCTGGGGCCCGGTGCTTCTCACTATGGGAGTTTGGAGCGCATGCCATTTTGGGGGATTTACAAAATCCTCCGCAGGAAGAAGCCGTGAGGAGCAGCTGCAACTCAGTGCCCAGCCTTGCCGCCACCACCCTCCGCACTGGACCAGGCTGCTTGCAGGCCTGCCCACAGAAGTGGGGGTCCAGAAACCGTGGTATTTGCCAGGAAAAGGGTTGTCGCTTCCCTGGCCTCAAGCACCAAATGAACCACAAACTGGACAGAGACTGAGAAAGCTGGGTCTCAGACTGGGAGGGCCAGGCGCAGAGAGAAGCAGCCAGGACAGCGCTGGTTGCGGCTGCTGCGGCTGCTGTGGATGCTGCGGCAGGAGTGCAGCGCCTCACCAGAAGGAGCAGCGTGAGTGAGCCACCATTGCCCTGCCTGGGAAGTTTGCCCTGATCTGTGCCTTTGTGGGGGTCACACAAGGAACTCGAGGCCAGAGGAGGAGTCTGATGGGCACACCCAGCAGTGAATCTAAGGAATCCTTTAATTTCTGGAGGAACTCTGGGCAGAAAGCATCAGGGCAGGGTGCTGGACAGTGGGGCCCAGGAAAGAGGATCAATCCTGCCCGCCTGGAGTGCAGAGGAGGTGCCCCTGTCCCCACCTGCAGAGCTGTTGGTTCTGCCCCACCCTGCAATGACCTGAGGCAAGGGGGAAGGACTCTGGGCTGGAAATCTGAGCCACTGCAGCTAGGTCCGGCAGCCTAGTGGACTCATATGCTTGACCTGGTCAGAGCCTGGGCAGGGGCCCTGCTCACCATGAGCCCACCACCCCGAAAGATTGGAGTGCCAAGCAGAGCTGATTATTTTTCTGATTGCCTCCTGCTTGAGGTGGTGGCAAAGGGGTCCAGCAAGCCAGGCAGAGCTGAGGCATTGGAAGGAGAGGAAATGCGGGGCCCACCTCCTACAAGCTACTGGCACCACCCCCAACAGAGCCTCTTCAAACCATTCTGGCCAGGATTCAGATACCCACCCCCCACACACACACCCACGCATGCACGCACGCACGCACAAAGCCCAGTTTATGGGATAAGGGACAGCAGCTCAGAACAGGGACATACAAGGTGCAAGACCCAAGGCAGACCCAGCTTCTGGGATAGGAAGGCCCCAACAGCCATACTACTTGAGGTTCCATCCTGCTGTGCTTCATTCAGGCCACCACCCCACCCCCACCCCCCAGCCAGGCAGAGGCAGCAACTCACATTGGGTTGCAGCAGAGACCCTCCCAGGAGACCCATCCAGGGAATTCCACAATTAGCAGATCCAAAAGTTATTTTTTCTTCTCTTTATTCTTTCATGTCTCTTATTTATCTCTTTCCTTTTTCTTTTTTAATCCTCACCCAAAGATATTTTTTTATTTATCTTCAGATAGAATAGAAGGAAGGGAGTGGAGAGAGGGAGAAAAACATCCATGTAAGAGGGACACATCAACTGGTTGCCTCCTGCACCACCCCAACCAGGACCCGAGATGAACCACAACCAAGATGCGTGCCCTTGACTGGAATCAAACCCGTGATTCTTTGGTCCACAGACCAGTGCTCTAACCACTGAGCTAGACCAGCCAGGGCTCCTTTTTTTGTTTTTAATATTTCTTTGTTAATCATCATGTGAGGATATTTTTCATTAATTTTTAGATAGAGTGGAAGGGAGGAGTGGGGGAAAGAGAAAGAGAAACATTGATGTGAGAGAGACACATCAGTTGGTTGCCTCCCACACAACCCTGACTGGGGCTGGGGAGCAAACCCACAGACTCTTTGGTCTGCAGGCTGACACTCTAACTGCTGAGCCAAACTGGCCAGGACTTATCTCTTTCCTTCTATTCTTTTTCTCTCTCTTTCTTTTTTTAAAATTTTCATTTTTAATTTTTTTCATCTTATTTTATTTTTTCCTCTTTTCTCCTCTTTTCTCATTTTTATTTTCCTTTTCTATATTTTAATTTATTCATTATTATTACTTTTTAATTTTTTTTTCTTTTCTTCTTATTCTAGATCTTTTCCTTTCATATTCTTTGTTTTGGTTCTTCTAATTCTTTTGCTCTAAAGTCTCTTAGTATCATTTTATTTTTTAGTCATTCTTGTTTTGTGTGTTACTTTCTGTTTGGCCTTCTTTTGCCCGGTTTTGATCTGTCAACACTTGTATAACAGTTGGCATGACATGGTTGGGGTTCAGCCTCACAGTCAGCAAGCCTGAGTGCTCAATCCACCCAAGAATAGACTAAAGCAATCAAGACCAAAATACAACAAGAAAGCCCACATAACACAAGCAAGGGATATTCCTAGAAACCCAGCTCAGAAGATCAAGGAGACTACACCACTGGGTCCCACAAGAAGGCCATGTCACCAAGACTGGGACACTTAGCAGTCTTATCTAATGCAAAGAAACAGAAAAAAATGGGAAGACAAAGTAGCCCCAAATGAAAGATCAAGAGGAATCTCCAGAAAAGAGAGCTAAATGAAATGGAGGCAAACAATTTATCAGAAACAGAGTATAAAGTAATGGTTTTTAGAGTGCTCAACAACATGAAAAAGGACATAGAAACCACAAAAGACAACCAGTCAGATATTAAGAATGACATAGCTAAAATAAAGAATACACTAGAAGCCCTGGCTGGTGTAGCTCAGTTAGTTGGATATCCTCCCATGCACCAAAAGGTTGCTGGTTTGATTCTCAGTCAGGGCACATGCTGGGTTTCAGGATCAATCCCAGTAGAAGGCATTCCAGGAGGGAGCCTATCAATGTCCTACTGTCACATTGATGTTTCTCTTTCTCTCTTTCCATTTTCTCTCTTTAAAAATCAATAAAAGTATTCTTTTAAGAAAAGAATACACTGGAAATAATTAACAGTAGGTTAGAAGAAACAAAATTGAATTAGTGAATTAGAAGACAAGGTAGAAAAAAATTATTCAATCAGAGCAGCAAAAAGAAAATACTTAAAAAGCATGAGGACACTTTCAGGGAACTTTGGAACAATATGAAACCAAACAACATCTATATCATAAGGGTGCCAGAAGGAGAAGAAGGTGAGCAAGGCATAGAAAACCTGTTTGGCCCTGGCCGGTTTGGCTCTGTGGACCAGAGAGTCCCGGGTTCGGTTCCCGCTCGGGGCACGTACCAAAAAAAAAAAACCAACATAAAAAAGAAAACCTGTTTGAAGAAATAATGACACAAAAAAAATCCGTTACCTGATGAAGCGAAAAGTCACACAAGTTCAGGAAGCACTAAGAGTCCCAATCAAGATGAACCCAAAGAGACCCACACCAAGACACATCATAATTAAAATGACAAACATTAAAGACAAAAAGAGAATTTTAAGGGCAGCAAGAGAGACACTCAGTTACCTACAAGGCAACTCCCATAAGGCTGTCAGCTGATTTCTCAACAGAAATACTACAGACCAGAGGGAATGGCATGAAGTATTCAAAGCAAGGATCTGAAACCATGACTACTCTATCCAACAAGGCTATCATTAAAAATTGAAGGTGAAGTTAAAGAGCTTCCCAGACAGAAAAGGGCTGAAGGAGTTGATTACCACCAAACCAGCATTGCAAGAAATGTTAAGGGGACTGTTGTAAGGAGAAGAAGAAATACAGAAAGAGAGAAACATAGGCATAGAGAATTGAAATGACAATACGTGAGTACTTATCAATTATAACCTTAAATGTAAATTAATTAAATGTTCCAATCAAAAGACATAGGGCAGCTAAATGGATAAGAAAACATGACCCATATATATACTGTCTGTAAGAGACCCACCCCAGAACAAAAGACTCACACAGGATGAAAGTGAAGGGTGGAAAAAAATTTCCCAGGCAAATGGAAACAAAAAAAGCAGGGGTAGCCATACTTATACCTAACAAAATTGACTTCAAACAAAGGGACAAAGAAGGTAAGTACATAATACTAAAAGGATCAATCCAACAAGATCCCATCAAACAAGTGCTGGTGAGATTGTGGAGAAAAAGGAACCCTCGTACACTGCCAGTGGGAATGCGGACTGATGCAGCCACTGTGGAAAACAGTGTGGAGTTTCCTCAAAAAGTTAAAAATGAAATTGCCATTTGACCCAGTGATCCCACTTCTGGGAATTTATCCTAAGAATCCCAAAAACACCAATCAGAAAGAATATATGCACCCCTATGTTCATAGCAGCATTATTCACAATAGCTAAGATCTGGAAATAGCTCAAGTGCCCATCAGCAGATGAGTGGATTTAAAAAAAAAAAAAAAAAAAAAGCTGTGGTACATTTATACAATGGAATACTATGCAGCTATGCAGCTATAAAAAAGGATCTCTTATCCTTTGCAACAGCATGGATGGACCTGGAGATTATTATGCTAAGTGGAATAAGCTCATCAGAGAAAGATAAATACCACATGATCTCATTTAAGTCAAAATAAACTGACAAACAAAATAGGTCCAGAGACATGGATGCATCAAAGAGACTGATAGATCTCAGAGGGAAGGGCAGTGGGGAGTCAGGAAGGGATTAACCAAAGAACTTAAATGTATATATGCATAGCCCATGGACAGGGACAATAAGATGGTGAAGACCTGGGGTGGAGCAGGTGCTGGGTAGAGGGGGGCAGAAGAGGGAAGAAATGGAGGACATCTGTAATACTATCAACAGTAAAAAATAAAATAATTGAGTGGTAGGTGTTTGGTGGTGATGGTCTTGATGGAGAAGCTTTTACACACCTGTATTGGAGGTTGGGAAAATTGCTCTGAATTCCTGCTGGCTATGAAGCAGGAAATTGAAAATATAGGCAGGGTCCACACTATAGGAGAAACCAAAAATATTTGCTTTCTTCATTTCTATTTCTTGAAACTTCTTTGTGGTTTAAACCTTGATGCCCATTTTGTGCCAGATCTTACTCTTATTCAACAGGAAGTGGATGCTTTGGAAGAACTAAGCAGGCAGCTTTTCCTGGAAACAGCTGATCTACATGCTACCAAGGTACAGAGCAAGGAACCGGAAATGTGCTTTTTGTCAATATGATTGAAGAGAGAGCAAGACTAAATAGCTTTTTAGTGTCCTCCATGGCCAAGCAGTGCAAGAGACACCTTATAGCTTCAATATTAACCATGAAGCATTAGAAATCTGCACATTGCTTCTACCACTAACAAAATCCTTAGTGGAACACTCTCAATAATAGAAATTAGTGGGATAGTCAAAAGAGGCTTTTCAACATCTAGGAAGGTGGCACACACCACTTCTTACTGACTCAGGATCAAGATGGTAGCTCCTCTGATTGTTTTTTATTCCCTTACAAATTAGTAAGGGAGTTAGTAATGCAAAATCTACTAATTAAGGTTGTTCCAACTATTTTCATCCTTTTTGAGGATCACTTCACAGGAGTAGCCCTATCGGATAGATGTTAACATAAGTTTTGGAGATAGATAGACCTGAACCTAACTTCCTTTCCTTACTAGCTATATGATCTTGGGCAAGTTATTTAACCTCTCTAAGCTTCTGTTATGAAGATTAAAGTAAATAATGCATGTAAGGTGCTTATCTCACTTTCTGGCTTAAAGTAGTATCCAGTAAATGTTGCTCACTACTACTATTATTTTAATATTATTATTACCATGTGTGGTTTTTTGACTTAGCCTGAAGGAGTAATTCATTTTTGTTCAATATAAATTTACATTTTGCTGAGACTGACAATGTTTTGTGTTTCTTTTCCCTCAGGAGAGAATAGAATATTCCAAAACTTTCAAGGGGAAATATTTCAATTTTCTGGGTTACTTTTTCTCTATTTACTGTGTTTGGAAAATTTTCATGGTAAGTATGTTATTTTTAACTGTCAGAATTTAAGTAATTTTCCCTGGTAATGGCAGAAAGAGAAAAGTGAGTTTCATTGAGGCATTGAACTAAATTCCAACCTAATTTTCAAATCCAATTGAGTCAACAGAGAATGTGATCTTTCACATTTTTGAGCCTCTCTCTGTTTCCCTTCTCCTTTTTAGGTCACCTAGAAAAGGAAGGTTGCATTTTTCTTGTCAGAAATAGTTAATACGGTCTTAGATTATGAAATATATGAAGCAAATATAAAAGGTGTTTTTTTTTTTATTTTACACCCTGCTTTTCATATTATCCATGAGAATGTGACTATATGTAATTCACTCATAAATTAAATTAAGTTCAAAGTAAATTCTAAAATGTATTTCTATAAATAAATTTACCCCATGTGTTTATAGATCTTACTCTTTTATGGCCCTCCCTTATTGTTTATTCTCTATGAGCATTTTTTTCAATCCTCACCCGAGGATATTTTTCCATTGATTTTTTTAGATAGAGTGGAATGGAGGGAGGGATAGAGAGAAAAAGATCGATATGAAAGAGACACACTAATTGGTTGCCTCCTGCACAAACCCAACCAGAGCTGGGGATTGAACTTGCAACCCAGGTTCGTGGCCTTGACCGGGAATTGAACACATGACTCTTTGATCTTTGGTCCAACGCTTGAACCACAGGGCTCTATGGGCATTTTATGTACATTATTCCTCTTTACTTGTGACTCATCTGCAGGTATTAATGGATTTCAGTGTGATTATAGAAAAGGCTGGTTTGTTTTCTGGTTTGGTAACCTTCCTACTGGAATTGTGTGTGCACAGGGGAGCTTTGTCTGCTTGTTAGTTCATTTTGATCGATGTAGATGAATGGAGGATTCTGGATTTAACTGACCTAATGTTATAATAATTTTATGTCGGTGCCTATTCAGATGACATTTTTAAATCTTGATTCATTCCTTGGGAGAGGATGAATGAAGATAGTGTGTCCAATTAGCTAAACTACTGAAAGCTTTTTCCGGAGATGCAGCCTTTAAGGAAGCACATTGTACTGTCTTTCTATTACAGTTGATGTTCAGTAGTATATTAGTTTCAGGTATAAAGCATTGTGGTTACTCATTTGTATAATTTACAAAGTGGTCTCCCAATAAGTCTAGTACCCACCTGGTACCATACATAGTTATTACATTATTATTGACTGTATGTCCTAAGCTGTACTTTACATCCCCACAGGACTATTTTGTAACTGCCAATTTGTACTTATTAATCTCCTCACCTTCTTCACTCAGCCGCCAACCCCTCTCCCATGTGGGAACATAGCATTTTTAACAGTTTTATTGAGGTATAATTGACATTCATTAGACTGCAAATATTTAAAGTGTACAATTTGGTAAATTTTGGCAAATGTATAACTATGCAACAACCATCACCACAATAAGGATAGAGAACATAGCCACTCATCAGTTCCTAAAGTTTTCTTGTTCCCCTTTGTAATGCCTCGCTCCCATACTCCCAGTCTCCAGGGAACCACTGACCTGCTGTCATTGTACATAGTTTCTATTTTCTTTTTTTTTATCCTCACCCGAGGACATTTTTCCTTTTTTTGTTCAGGTAGAGTGGGAGGGAGAGAGAGGAACACAGAGAGAGAGAGAGAAACATCGATGTGAAAGGGACACATTGAGTGGCTGCCACCCGCACAACCGACCAGGGCCGGGGACAAACTGCAACCGAGGTACGCGCCCTTAGCAGGAACCGAACCCGGGTCTCTCAGGACCGCAGGCCGATGTTCTAACCGCTGAGCCAAACCAGCCAGGGCCATAGTTTATATTTTCTAAAGCCTTATATAAATGGAATCTTACAGTATGTACCATTTTTCTGTCTGGGTTTTTTTTGTTTTGTTTTGTTTTGTTTTTTAATTCTCACCTGAGAATATTTTTTCCATTGATTTTTAGAGATTAGAAGGAAGGGAGTGGAGAGAGAGAGAGGAACATCAATGTGAGAGAGACACATTGATAGGTTGCCTCCCACACGTACCCCAGCAGGCTGGGGAATGAATCTTCAACCCATACCCTTGACCAAATTCAAACACTAGACCCTTTGGTGCTCAGGCCGACACTCTGAACACTGAGCCACGCCGGACAAAGCTGTCTGGCTTCTTTTACTTGGCATAATTATTTTAATTTTTATCCATGTTATTGTATGTATTGATATTTTACTCCTTTTTATTTATTGCTCAGTAGTATGGGTATGGGTATACCACAATTTGTTTATCTCCTCTCCTGCTGATGGAGAGCTGTTTATTTCTAGTTTGGGGATATTACAAATAAAGCTTCTGTGAACATTTGTGTACAAGTCTGTATATGGACATATGCTCTCTTTTCTCTTGGGAGAAAACACTTAGGTGTGGAATAGCTAGGTCATATGGCAGCTGTAGGTTTAGCTTTTGAACAAACAGCCAAATTTTGCCAAAAAAGTTGTACCATTTACATTCCCACCTGCAGTGTCTGAGAGTCTCAGTCACCCCACGTTCCCTTCAACACATCACATCGTCAGCCCTTTTAACTTGAGACATGCTAATAATGGGTGTGAGGTGGTATTTTATTTAATTTACATCTCCCTAATGTCTGATGGTATGGAACAACTTTTCACGTGCTTATTTGCGACCTATTCATTCCCTTGGTGATATATCTATTCAAATTTTTGCCAATTTTTAAATAATGTTTGTTTTCTTTTTATTGGATTTATAGTCTAGAAATTAATTATCAAGTATGTGATTTTCAAATATTTCCTCCCAATTGGTGACTTGGCTTTCCATTCTCTTAGCAGTATCTTTCATAGAACAACAGCTCTTGATTTCATGAAGTCCAATGTATCTCTTTTTTTCTATTATGGGTTATGCTTGTAGTATCATATCTAAGAAGTCTTCGCCTAACCCAGGGTCACAAAGATTTTTTTCATACTTTTTTTCCGAAGTTTTATTGTTTCTGGTTGGTGTTTTGGGACTCTTAGGATATAGTCCTAGCCCTGGCCGGTTTGGCTCAGCGGTTGGAGCATCGGCCTGCGGTACAGAGGATATAGTCCTAGAATTGGGACCACTGGGTCAAATGGCAGTTCCATTATTAATCTGTTGAGGAAACTCCACATGGTTTTCCACAGTGGCTGCACCAGTCTGCATTCCCACCAGCAGTGTACAAGGATTCCTTTTACTCTACATCCTCACCAACATTTGTTTTTTGTTGATTTATTGATGGTAGCCATCTGGCAGGTGTGAGGTGGTACCTCATTGTCATTTTATCTTACATTTCTCTGATGATAAATGGTGTTGAGCATTTTTTCATATGTCTCTTGGCTATGTATTTGTGTGTCCTCTTTAGAGAACTTGTCTATTCAGGTCATCTGCCTATTTTTTAATTGAATTGTTTGTCTTTTGTTGAGTTGTATGAGTACTTCATATATTTTGGAAATTGACCCCGTATCCAATGTGTCATTGGCGTATACATTCTCCCTTACAGTGGGTTCCCTTTGATGCTGGTTTCTTTTACTGTGCAGAAGCTTTTTAGTTTGATGTAGTCCCATTTGTTTATTTTTTTCCTTTGTTTCTCTTGCCCTAGGCAACATATACATGAAAATTCTGCTATGTGAGATGTCTAAGATTTTGCTGCCTACATAGTCTTCTAAGATTTTATTGGTTTCACGACTTACATTTAAGTCTTTTACCCATTTTGAGTTTATTCTTGTGTATAGTGTAAGTTGGTTGTCTAGTTTAATTTGTATACATGTACCTTTCCATTTTTCCCAACACATTTATTGAAGAGACTGTCTTTACTCCATTGTATGCTCATGCCTCCTTTGTCAAATATTAATTGAACAGAATGGCTAGGGTTGATTTCTGAATTCTCTGTTCTGTTCCATTGATCGATATTCCTATTCTTGTGCCAGTACCAGGCTGTTTTGATTACAGTGGCTTTGTGGTATAACTTGATATCCAGTATTATGATCCTTCCAATTTTATTCTTCTTTCTCAAGATGGTTGTGGCTATTCAGGTCTTTTTTGGTTCTATATAAATTTTAGGAATATTTGTTCTAGATTTGTGAAATATGCCATTGGTATTTTAATAGGGATTGCATTGAACCTAAAGATTGCTTTGGATAGTATGGACATTGTAATATTAATTTGTTCCAATTCATGAACATGGTATAATCTTCCACTTGTTTGTATCTTCCTCTATCTCTTTTTTCAACATCCTATAGTTTTCTGAATACAGGTCTTTTACCTTCTTGGTTAAGTTTATTCCTAGGTATGTTGTTTTTTTGTTGTTGAAATGGAAAAAGGGATTTTTTTGTTTGTTTTGGTTATTGTTTTTTTAGTTTCTCTTTTAAAGAAATCATTATTGGTGTATAAAAATTACATCAATTTCTAGATGTTAATTTTATATCCTACTACTTTGCAGAATTCATTTATCAACTCTAATAGTTTTTTAATGCATTCTGTAGGGTTTTCTCTGTACAATATTACATGATCTATGAATAATAACAGTTTTACTTCCTCCTTTCTAATTTTGATACCTTTCATTCTTTTTCTTGTCTGATCACTGTGGCTAGGACTTCCAGTACTATATTAAATAAGAGTGGTAAAAGTGGATATCCTGTCTTGTTTCAGTTCTTAACAGAAATGCTTTTAGTTTTGCCCACTGAGTATGATGTTAGCTGTGGGTTTGTCATATATGGACTTTTTTGTGTTGATGTATGATCCTTCATGCCCATGTTACTGAGAGTTTTTATCAAAAGTGGGTGCCAACACTGGTCAGTGTGGATCAGTGGTTAGAGCTTTACCCCCACACACCAAAGTGTCACAGGTTCAATCCCTGGGCTAAGATTACATACCTGGGCTATAGGTTTGATCCCTGCACCAGTCAGGGCATATACAGGAGGCAAACAATTGATTTGTCTCTCTCACAGCAGTGTTTCTCTTCCTTACCTCCCTTCCACTCTCGTTCTTAAAAATAATCAATGGGCCCAACCAGTGTGGCTCAGTGGTTGAGCGTTGACCCATGCACCAGGAGGTCACCAGTTAGATTCCCGGTCAGGGCACATGCCCAGGTTGTGGGCCAAATCCCAGTGGGGACATACAAGAGGCGTCCAGTCAATGTTCTCTCTCAGCGATGTTTCTATCTCTCTCCCTCTCCCTTCCTCTCTCTCTAAAATCAATAAAGAAAAAAAAAAATTTTTAATAAAAATAATCAATGGAAAAAGTATTCTCGGGTGAGGAGTAACAAAGAAAACTAAAAAGTTTGTCTTCAATTTTGTCAAATGCTTCACGTATTTTAAAGCTCTGTGTATACATTTTAGGGTCATTATGTACCCTGTGTTGAAATGATACTTTTATCATTATGAAATGACCTTTTTAATCCCTGGCAATATTTTTTGCTATAAAATCTACTTTGCTGATATTAATATAAACAGTCCAGGTTTCTTTTTTTTTTTTTTTTATCCTCACCCGTAGACATTTTTGCACATATCTTCAGATAGAGCAGGAGGGAGAGAGAGAGAAACATCTATGTGAGAGAGACACATCGAGTGGTTGCCACCCACACGACCCCAACCGGGGCCGGGGACAAGCTGCAACCGAGAGGTACATGCCCCAGCGGGAACCAAACCTGGGACTCTCCAGTCTGTGGACTGATGCTCTAACCGCTGAGTCAAACCGGCCAGGGCAGTCCAGCTTTCTTTTGATTAAAATAAATAATAATATATTTTTTCAATACTTTTACTTTTAACCTATTTGTATTTTTATATTTAAAATGGGTTTCTTATCAGCAACATATAGTTGGGTGTTGGTTTTTTATCCAATCTGACCATCTCTGCCATTTAATTGGCATGTTTAAACCAGCAGCCAGCTATCTGCAGCCCACAGGTGAAATCCAGCTACCACCTGCTTTTGTAAATAAAGTTTTATTGGAACACAGTCAAGCCCATTCATCTGTGGCTACTATCATACTACAGTGACAGCATTTGCCACCCCCTGGTTTTGATCATTTACATTTAATGTGATTATTGATATGGTTGGTTTTAAAACAACCATAGTACTATATGTTTTTTATTTGTCTCAACTGTTTTCTTCCCTTTTTCCTTTTTTTCTGCCTTCTTTTGGATTAATTGGGTATTTTTCATAATTCCATTTGATTACCTTTGGTGGCTTGTTAGCTGTGACTCTTTTTGTTATTGCTTTTAGAGCAATATGAGAGAGAACATCGATTGGCTGCCTCCTGCATGCCCCCCACTGGGGATTGGGCCTACAACCTGGGCATGTGTCCTGACCGGGAATCAAACCAGCGACCTCTTGGTGCACAGGATGCTTAGCCACTGAGCCACACCAGCTGGGCATATTTCCCTGTTCTCTCTCTGTTTTTTTTTATTCTTCGCCCAAGGATATTTTTCTATTTATCATCAGATAGAGTGGCAGGAGAGAGAGAGACAGAGAGAAACATCGATGTGATAGACCCACATCAACTGGTTGCCTCCCACACGACCCGACCAGGGCCGGGGACGAACCGCAACCAAGGTACGTGACCTTGACGGGAATCGAACCTGCAATTCATTGGTCCATAGGCCAGTGCTCTAACCGCTGAGCCAAACCAGCCAGGGCTCCCCCTGTTCTCTTTACAGAAAAGAAAGATAAGGTAAATAGGGACTTTTGTTTGCCTTTATGTGAATAGCCAAATCGATTTTTATATATGATTTAGATTGAGAGTAGAAGTTCATTTTTAGGAACATCCTAAAGTTAGGTTGTGATGATTAATTTATTATTTTGAATCACTTTTTTAAGTAGTAGGTGATTATTGAAATGTTCTAATGTAAAGTTCTATGTCTCTGCAGGCAACCATTAATATCGTTTTCGACAGAGTTGGGAAAACTGATCCTGTCACAAGAGGCATTGAGATCACTGTGAATTATCTGGGGATCCAATTTGATGTAAGAATTGTATCAAGATCCTGGTTGGTTCTATTTCTTTCTGTTTTATCTGCTATGAATTATAATTATTAAGATTCTAATTCTTTACTATAGGGACTTGATTCTCCTTTTGTCCTTCCCACTGTCCTTGGTCTATTTTGACATATTCATATGCCAAATTTGTAGAGGGCATAAAGCTATAAATAATTACTTGGTGCTCATTGTCGTGGATGCTGATTCTTTCTGCAGTTTCTCCTCTGCTTCTCTGTAGCCAGCTACCACTCACCAGCTTCTCCACACTAAGTACTCGGATATGTCTCTCTCTCAGATCTTCAGACACACAACTCACCTTTGATTCCTCTGGTGGAATATTAACTACTAATTAGTGTTCTGTGTTAGAACTGAAATGATTCCTGCTGTAAAAAAATTATCTTTATCAATTAATTAATGTGGACTTTGAGTTAAAGATGATAACTGTAACCTGTGCATAAACTCTTTGTCATCTTTCTACCTGTTTTATAATGCCACTGTCATTAAACATACTTTTGTCCCCATTTAAATTTAACATCTGTATTTGTAAACTAGTATATTTCCTAGGTATATAGATGGCCAGTGATTCTGGATGATAATAAGACCAATGTCACATTTCTAGACCCTGTGAGGGTGTTTCAGCTCCACTGTGACCCTAGCCACAGACTGCATGCTACCCCCGGCCAGCCATCTCAGCTGGACATGCTCCTCCTAGCTCCATAAAATAAAAATGGACCAGCGCAAATTGAGTTCCAGTCCTTAAGAAACAGCTTAAAGCACACTTTTTTGTTTTTGATTGATTGATTTGAGAGAGAGAGAGAAACACCAATTTGTTGTTCCACTTATTTATGCGGAATAAATTGATTGATTCTTGTATGTACCCTGACCAGGGATCGATCCTGCAACCTTGGCATATCAGGACAATGCTCTAACCAACCGAGCTCCCCAGCCAAGGCCAAAGCACACATCTTTTGATGCTGCGTCAATAGTGTGCCCTTTTCATTTGAAGGAATGCGGTATCTTCCCTTCACGTGGTGTATAAATTATACTGGGAAGTGTGCTTGTTTTCCTCTTTTGAACTTCTTACGGGGATGAGTTTTCAGAAATGCTCTTCCTTATCAGTGCTTTCTGTGTATATATTTATATTCCATCTATAATTCATCTATATACTCCATATTTCATAATTCTGAGTAACATCTTTTATTTATTTATTTTTATTTAATCCTCACATTGCCTGGTTGCCTCCCACATGACCTCGACCAGGGCCGGGGACACACCGCAACCAGGGTACATGCCCTTGACCGGAATCGAACCTGCGACTCTTTGGTCTGCGGGCCAGCACTCTAACGGCTGAGCCAAATGGGCCAGGGCTGAGTAACATCTTTTAGACGGTAGTAGCAGGAGCGCACCCTCAGATACTTTTCGGACCTGAGTCAAGCACTGGGTCCCAAAGGGGCCTCTCACTATGAAACAGAACAAGAGGAGAAAAGGTATCATATGATTCAAATGAAGGCAACTATTTTCTAGACCATGGCTGAGAATGTCTGTATGTTTTTTTATTAAAAAAGAAAAATTCCTGCCCTGGCCAGTGTGGCTCAGCGGTTAGAGCGTTGGCCTGCGGTCCGGAGAGACCCAGGTTCGGTTCCCGCTAAGGGCATGTACCTCGGTTGCAGTTTGTCCCCGGCCCTGGTTGGGTCGTGCGGGTGGCAGCCACTCGATGTGTTCCTTTCATGTCGATGTTTTTCTCCCTCTCTCCCTCTTCCTCCCACTCTATCTGAACAAAAACTGGAAAAATGTCCTCGGGTAAGGATAAAAAGAAACAGAAAAATTCCTTAAAGTTTTGGGTGATCAGAGAACTGTCAGTCACAGATAATAAAAATAATCAAGCTGTTATTTAGTTTCCTTTTAATCTGTGCTTTTCACTTATCACATTGAAGCGATATCATTAGGTTGGTGTTTCTTCTGATTTATTTGTGTTGTTTTCATCACTTCACTGCACTGGCTTTCTTCTGCCCTGACGTCTCGATTGCGTCTGCTATTGAAGATACCCACTGTAGTCTTCCATAGGCAGTTTAGTTGCCACTTGCTTTCCTGCCTAACTTTTTTTTAATCAGATGGGGCCTAATGAATTCTATCTCACATTCACAGAAGCAATCAGAATGCATCTTCTTTTGTTGTTTTTGTTAATCCTCACCTGAGGATATTTTTTCCATTGATTTTTTTTCTTTTTTGTTTTAATTTTTTTTTCCCTTTATTGATTTTTTAGAGAGAGAGGGAGAGAGGGATAAAAACATTGATGAGAGAGAACATCAACTGGCTGCCTCCTGCATGCCCCTACTGGGGATTGGGCCCACAACCTGGGCATGTGTCCTGACCGGGAATCGAACTGGCGACTTCTTAGTGCATGGGTCGATGCTCAACCACTGAGCCACATCGGCCGGACTTTCTTTTTCTTAGAGAGAGTGGAAAGGAGGAAGGGGGAGAGGGAGAGAGAAACATTGATATGAGAAAGACATATGGGTTGGTTGCTTCCCACATGTACCCTGACCAAGACCAGAGATCAAACCTGACACCCAGGTACATGCCCTTGACTGGGAATCAAAGCTACAACCATTTGGTGTGCAGGCCAGCGCTCTTCCCAATGAGTCACACCGGCCAGGGCCAGAATGCATCTTCTTAATCCTCACATCTCTCTGAACAGAGATTTAACAGATTTATTCTTTCTATTATGGTGGCAGGTGAAGTTCTGGTCCCAACACATTTCCTTCATTCTGGTTGGAATCATCATTGTCACGTCTATCAGAGGATTACTGATCACTCTTACCAAGGTATGTTGTATCACAGAGTTAAAAAAAGTAATTATTTTCTTAATTACATGTGATACTGTGAAATAATTTTACCAATTTAAGATATCTGTCTTCTGAAATCTTGAACAACAGTCATAAATATTTGAAAGACATACAACAGACTTTATTTTTTTAAACTTGTCTTTATTTTTGAATGTATTACAGATGTCCCCCTTTTTCCCCATTGACTCACTCCTCCCCAGTCCTGCCTGCCTCCTGCTTTCCCCACACTATTGTCGGTGTCCATTGGTTAAGCATATATACATATAAGTTATTTGGTTTATCTCTTCCCGCCCTCCTTCCCCCCTTCCCTTTGAGGTTCATCAGTCTAACAACCAATTTGTACTTCTTAATTCCTTCATCTTTTCACCCATCCACCCATCCCCCTCCCATCTGGCAGCCAACAAAAAGTTCTCTGTATCTATGAGTCTGTTTCTGTTTTGCATGTTCATTTTGTTTGTAGATTCAGTTGTTGATAGATATGTATTACTTTCCATTTTATATGTATTAATTGCCATTTTGTTCTTCTTCTTCAAGAAGACCCTTCAACATATCATATAATACTGGTTAGGTGGTGATGAACTCCTTTAGCTTTTTCTTGTCTGGGAAACTCTTGACATGTCCATCAATTCTACATGATAGCTTTACAGGTTAGAGTAATCTTGGTTGTAGGTCATTGCTTTTCATCACCTTGAATATCTCTTGCTACTCCTTTCTGACCTGCAAAGTTTCTTTTGAGAAATCAGCTGACAGTCTTATGGGAGCTCCTTTGTAGGTAACAAACTGCTTTTCTCTTGCTGCTTTTAAGATTCTCTTTGTCTTGAATCTTTTGCATTTTGATGATGATGTGTCTTGGTGTGGGCCTCTTTGGGTTCATCTTTTTTGGGACTCTGTTTGCTTCCTGGACTTGTATGTCTGTTTTCTTCACCAAGTTAGGGAGGTTTTCTGTCATTATTTTTTCAAATAGGTTTTCAATTTCTTGTTCTCTCTCTTCTCCTTCTGGCACCTCCATGGTGCAAATGTTGGCATGCTTGAAGTTGTCCCAGAGGTTCCTTACACTATCCTCATTTTTTTTTTATTTTTTTTTTTTTTTTTTTTTTTTGCTGTTCTGATTGGGTGTTTTTTCTTCCTTATAGTCCAACTCAATGGTTCGCTTCTTGGCTTTACCTACTCTACAACTAATTTCCTGTAAATTATTCTTTATTTCAGTTAGTGCATACTTCATTTCTGACTGGTCCTTTTTATGTTGTTAATGTTCTCACTAAGTTCCTTGGAGTTCTCCTTAAGTACCTTGAACAACCTTATAACCTGTGTTTTGAACTCTGCATCTGATTGATTGCTTATCTTCATTTTGTTTAGTTCTTTTCCTGGAGTTTTCTTATTTTCTTTCATTTGGGACATGTCTCTTTGTCTCCTCATTTTGGCTGCTTCCCTGTGTTTGTTTCTATGTATTAGGAAGAGTTGCTATATCTCCTAGGCTTCACAGGGTAGCCTACTGTAGTAGGTGCCCTGTAGGATCCGGTGACACAGCCTCCTTGATCACCAGCTGGGTCCTTGGGGTGCACCCCTAGTGTGACTGTACACCCTTTTCTTGTAATTGAGTCTGATTGCTGTTGGCCCATCAATGGGAGGGATTTACTTAGGCTGATCAGCTGCAAGGACTGGCTGTGCCCACTGACCACTGGCCTCTGACTACCTTGGATGATCAGCTGTGCAGCAACCCACCACACAGAGCAAGACTTAACTTCAGCAGGGCTTTGGTACTCAGAGTCCGCTCATTGAGTGTGTCACTTGTGGAGGTGGTTGGGTGGTGGTGCTCGATGTGGTCTGAAGCTGTCCACTGGGTGTGCTGGCTCTGGGATAAGGTCAGCCACTGCCTGTGTTTTACCCAGGGCCACCACGCATAAGCTACAGAGCAGTCTGCCCATGGCTGCTTCTTGTGCTGGGCTTGGAGGTGCCCAGGAAAAGCCATGTTGTGAACCAAGGCTGGCTGCTTCTAGTGCCGGGTCTGGGGCCACTTAATGAGAGGTATGGGGCTCGCTGAGACCAGATGCTGCTTGTTTGATAGAATTTAGGAAAATCTGAAGCAGGATCCAAGACAGGCCAATCCTATGGTCACGCCACTGGAAACAGCTTGGGTGGGCCCGAGGGTTGGGTGGGGCAGGGCCTCAGGGAATCACCAGGGCAGGGCAAACAGTGTGAGCCAGGTTGCTGGAGTCCTATATATGGTGCCCCTCCACCTTGATGTGACTTCTTTAATTTCATAGTTGTAGGACTTCCATTCAGCTTGATTTCAGGTGGTTCTGAATGATGGTTCTGTAGTTTAGTTGTAACTTTGATGTGGTTCTACAACAGACTTTTTTTTCCTTTCTTTATTGATATTAGAGAGAGGGAGACAGAGACAGAAACATCTATGAGAAAGAACATCGATTGGCCGCCTCCTGCATGCCCCTCACTGGGGTTGAGGCCCACAAGCTGGGCATGTGCCCTGACCAGGAATCGAACTGGTGACCTCTTGGTGCATGGGTCGATGCTCAACCACTGAGTCACACTGGCCGGGCTACAACAGACTTTTTAAAAAGTTAAACTGATAACATAAATTGATGATGGTGTACTTACACCATATAATCAGATAAGTACATTTACCAAAGGTCATAGAATGAGACCATGGTCTGTTCTGTTCACTGATATGTCAACAGCATCTAGAACAGCACCTGGCACCTGATAGGTGTTCAGTAGATGTTTGGAATGAGTGGATAAGGTGGGCATCTGAGATCAGAATAATGGTGTGCATCACTTGTAATGAGGATGTGGAAGCAGGTTATTCAACTCCTCAGATCAATGTGGGAAGCTTCCTGGAAGGTAAATCCTCTCTGGTGAAAGAGGTAGGGATTTCAGATCCAAGAGTTGTTTGAATGAAAGGAAAAAAGGGGTTGAGAAAAGGGAGGAAACAGGATCTCCAGGCATCTAGCATAATTTTGGAAGGAGCTCAGGAGCCCAGTAACACTTACAGGGGCCTGGAGTAATCTGTTTTCACGTTTCCTAGTGGTGTTCAAGTCACATGCATCACATAAGTTTCTAAAAAGCTTGTTAGTGATTGTAATCCTTTTGTGTTTCAATTTAATACTCTAAAACCACCAACTATTCCATGGAAAAAACGTAAGTAGATCCTTGATCCTTTTTCAGTCTGTTTAAGTCTCCTCTTAGTAGCCTTAATCATACAAATTGTTCTATAAAGGATTGTGACATGGAAGACACCTTTAATTAAATGTTAACCATGCTACTTAATGTTCTTGACACAGGATGTAGCCGTGCTGCATACATTCATCTTTTCCTTTTCTTGACAGTTCTTTTATGCCATCTCTAGCAGTAAGTCCTCCAATGTCATTGTCCTGCTATTAGCACAGATAATGGTAAGTTTGAAAAAGTAGCTTTACCTTTACAGCTGTGAAATACCAGAAGTGTTTTATACTTGTAAAGATTTTAACCATGTCCTTTGACCTGTCCCTCACTACATTCCGAGTGACTTCTGATTGACATGCCTGACTTACAGGGCATGTACTTCGTCTCCTCTGTGCTGCTGATCCGAATGAGCATGCCCCCAGAATACCGCACCATCATCACCGAGGTCCTTGGAGAACTGCAGTTCAGCTTCTATCACCGCTGGTTCGATGTGATCTTCCTGGTCAGTGCTCTTTCCAGCATACTGTTCCTCTACTTGGCTCACAAACAGGCACCAGAAAAGCATATGGCACCTTGAACTTATGCCTATTACAGACTGCTAATCGGCCAGTGGGGTCAGAATTTAGATATAAGGGGGAAAATGGAGGGGACCAGAGCCTAATATTTTTCAAACAAGCAAAATGTTGTGACATATTCTACCTCCAGTTTATGCCTTCCTCCTCAGATGACACAGTGATCACGAGTAGCATCCGCTAGAGCACGAGAGTGCGAGGTGACACTCTAATGCTCAGGAGAGGTTCCTGTGTGGGTTGAGGCTGGTACAGCATTGGGAAAGGGGTGGAAAGGAGCCAAGAAACTAGGGGAGAAGCACTGGAACTCTGGAGGAAGAGAAGTCTGTGGGAAGGTTTCTCTTTGAGTCAAGGTTCACACGGAGAAGGTTTCGGCTTTTCCTTGCGATTGATGGTCATTAAAATCAGAGACTGGAACTCTTTGGCCTTAGCTTTATTTTGTCAAGGATAACTTGGTATTTTGCTTGTGTGCTCTCACGAGTTAGCATCCCAGCTCTCCTTCCCCAAACCTTACCCCCTTAAAGTAACCAAGAGGTTAATCTGCTCTTTTCCGGGGATGGGATGGGGTGCAATTGAAAAAAATTCTACCAAGAGAGATTTCAAGTATGCCATTCTTCTTGATTTCCTTTAACTTGGTATCATTTAAGAGTTAATTCTACATTCAGTTCAATAATGATGTCTCATATTCCCTTCCCACCTGCCCCTCATGCTGTGGGTAAACAATGAGTAACTCTAACTGGAGTAAGTCACTTTCCTATCCTATGACTCAGTGTCTTCACCTATAAAAGGAAAATCTGTAGAACACTCAGAAATGCAATTTAAGAAAATCCTTAATTTACTACTGGAAAGTCTCTATTTATTACTAAGGTCTTATTCTGAATTTTATTTTGTTTTGGGTTTCTAGAGGCAAAATGAAGGTTAAAGCATAAAATGATTATCAAAACCAAAAACACTATTAAAGTTAGATCAGCTAACGGGGAAGGTTCAAGCACACTCAGATGGCAGTTTTAATGGCATTTATTTTAGTAACCACAACATTCTTTAAAAAGCATAATTTTAATAAGTTTATCTGCTCAGATACTTTAATTTGCAGCTCTCACATATACAGATTTAGCAGCCTATGGAAGTAAGAGAGATCATCACACAGAGAAATACAGTTCAGTTGAAACTTGAGAGATTACACGAAAGAATCTGGTCCCCGCCTTAGCTTTTCCTAAGGTGACCATAAATAAGCCACGTGCAGCAGCCACCGCTGGGACAGATGAGGACAGGAAACAGTCCCGTCCGGTGGCTTGGTCCCCAGCGTAGGCTCTTTAACAGAGCTCGTTCCCTGGAAGGGTTCCTGTGAAACACCCAGAGACAGCTACCGCCAAAGCCACTGTTCTCGTCACATCGCCGTGTCTTCAGAACTGGAAGAAGACTGAGAAACTGTACTGTGGGCCTGTGCAAAAGGAAACAAAGGCTCAGTCAGTGGTGGAGCACGACTCTCGGAGGTAGGTGGGCTACTACAGAGTTGCATAGTTAAGTCAGGGAGCAGAGTCACTTAGTAGAAGCCAGGTGACCTGAATTCCACACCTGGCTTTGTTTTCAGCTTGCTGTTTGAAACTGACAAATTTTGCCCAGCTGGTGTGGCTCAGTAGTTGAGCATCGACCCATGAACCAAGAGATCACTGGTTCAATTCCCAGTCAGGGCACATGATCAGGTTGTGGGCCCGATCCTCAGTGGGGGGGCATGCAGGAAGCAGCCAATTCAGTGTTCTCTCTCATCGATGTTTCTATCTCTCTCTACCCTCCTCTCTCTAAAATCAATAAAGAAAATCATTTTTAATTAAAAAAAAACACTAACAAATTTCTTAAAGTCTACATATATTTCTTGTCTATAAAGCTAGCATAGTACTATAGTTGACTCTCTAGAGAGACAGTATAGAATTCTTAAAAGACAACGATAATACTTTCTTTGTTAAGAAATCTAGAATATGGTCAAAGGCTATTGTGTGTGCTTTGGTCTGAATATTTGTACCTCCCTACAATTCATATGGTAAAACCCTTATCCCCAAGGTGATAGTATTGGGATGGGATTAAGTCATGAGGGCAGAGCTGGGATTAGTGCCCTGATAAAAGGGGGCCCCCAGAGCTGCCTAGCTCCTCCCACCATATGAGGACAGTGCAAGAAGCCCACAGCCTGGCCCTGGCCGGTTTGGCTCAGCTGTTAGAGCATCGGCCTGCAGTCCAGAGAGACACGGGTTCGGTTCCTGCTAAGAGCGCAGGTACCTCAGTTGCAGTTTGTCCCGGGCCCTGGTTGGCCATGCGGGTGGCAGCCACTCGATGTGTCCCTTTCACGTCGATGTTTCTCTCTCTCTCTCTCTGTTCCTCTCTCTCCCTCCCACTCTATCTGAACAAAAAATGGAAAAATGTCCTCGGGTGAGGATAAAAAAAAAAGAAGCCCACAGCCTGCAACCTGGAAGAGGGACTTCACCAGACGCCAACTCTGCGGCACCTTGATCTTGTACTCCCCAGCCTCCAGAATTGTCAAATAAATGTCTGTTGTTAATAAGCCACCCAGTATGCAGTATTTTGTTACAGCAGTCTACATGGACTATGACGGTGGGTGTGCATTAAAACTGTGTTTTATATTCCAATCAGAAGGATTAAATTAATATAATGAAAGGAAAATAACATAAAACTTTCAGTCTTGGCTTTGCCAAACATCTCCCTTATGAACTTGGATAGGTCAGTTTACTCTTGGACCTCAAGCTCATCTATGAAAAGAAATTGGACAAAAATAAAAACTGAGACTTACCAAGGAATTTATCTAATCAAATACATACAGAAAAATGTTTACTCTTCCCTAGTAATAAAACTTGCTTACCAATTTCTTTAAAAACAACTCTGTCTCTAACCACCACCATCCATTTTCATGCTTACTGTGCACAAGGCACTGTTTACACCACTTCAATAGTCTTGGTTAATACAACCTGGTGATAGTCCTACAAAGTGTCCTTGTTTTATAGGTGAAGAAACCAAGGCACAGAGACAGTAAATCCATTTGTCCAAAGCACAACCAGATTGTACATCAATCTGATACAAGTTCCATTTTCATTATAATTTTGATAAACTTATTTTATTTCTTGGTTTATTAATTCCAGATTACTGTTAATGCTATGAGAAATAAGGAATTTGTTGTTTTTATACTGCATTCTCTACCCTACAATAACTTGATTTACCAGTTACCTTTACACTATAATTGTTCAGTATTTTAGGAAATCTGTGTCAAACACAAATCTGTGTGGACACAAGGTGCACTTATGAAGGGCTCTCCCATGTTCGGGTAACTTAGATCACTGAAGAAACGTGTCACCACTCACTCGTTCCTTTGCCGGGTGTGAGGCGTGCTCGGACCCCGCCCACGTTCCTTCTTCGGAATCAAGGGGTACATCCAGTGGATCAGCCATGGAGGAAACAATAGGGATTTTCTTAGCCTGGAAATAATCATAGGCCTTCTTGCCACAGACTAAGAGCGTGACATTCTTCCCGCTGCTCTGGATTCTGTCCACCACCTTCTCGTAGAGCTCGTCCAGCACGTTCACCCCGTTCACTTCAACAATGACGTCCTCATCCTCCAGCCCGGCAAGGCTGGCGGGGCTGCCCTTCTGCACCTGCGAACACAGCTCTGCGTCATCGCTTCCGCGCGGACCCCAGAATGCTAGACCCGAGAGCAGATTCTTAACTGTGTTTTTCCTCTTGAACTCAAGTTTAGAAAGGTGCTCTAATGCTTTCTGCTTATGAATGCTACAACTTCTGTGTGCAATGAGTAGTGTTACAGTGGTTGAACATCATATTGTATGTCTCCCAGGTTAGAGATATTAGATTTCATAGGCCCCTTTCTGCTTTCCCAGCTGGAGAGCTCTGGGGATAGAGAGGGCATTACGCCAGCCCACAGAAGCAAACACACCATTTCCCAGTCACTGGACAGTGACTACAGTCATGCCAGCTCTATTTTGAAAGTATCTAAAGAGACAATTGAGTGGAACAGATGTTTAAGGGAAAAAAAAGATGTGACCTTAGGATGTACTAGTAGCTATCTCAAGGGGTCTGGGACCATGACAGCAATAATTTGAACCCAAGTGAGACACTCACTGTAGGCCTTAAATGTAACCTTTTAACTAAGCCATGGTGAGTGGGAGAAACAGGCCACTGGAACCGGATTACCATACCTCTTTGACAAACGGGCCTGGCCGACCCCGAATTGCATTTAAGTGGAAGCCATAGCCATTTTCACCTTTAACCAGCCTGCACAGCTTAGGCTTATGAGCTACTTCCTCTGTCGTTTCTGTACTTGAGACCTCCAGTGGAGCGGGAGTGGGGACTGGAGCCTCCTTCACAGAACCATTAGGCAGTTGTTGACTTTGATAGTAGAGAAATGGAGAGAAATGAGCCTTTTGAAAACAAAGGGGGGTGAGAAACATTAACTGTAAATATGAGTAATTACACTATTAAATGTGCTTGTTTAGTTCACACGGTGTCGTACATGCCCCACTCCTCCTCCAGAAACACGTGACTGTGGGCTGTAAAATTTCTCTCTCACCCCAACCAGGAAAGGTATCAAGGAAGCCTGAGCTTGGCTGTATGTGTATAAACATGTAAACAAATGCACATATACGTAAAATACAAGCAGTGCAGAATGTGGTACGAGGATCCAAAATAAGTCTAACAGAATTGCTAGTTTCTTCTGACTTGGCGATAGGCAAACCACTGAACTGTAGGCGTGCTCCCTGTCTGGAGCAGCAACAGTGATTCGCCCAACCCCCTCACTCAAAGTAGGTCCGCCCGGCCCTTGCCCTTCGGTAGGATGCTCTTCGGAGCTCCTTAGACACTTAGAGAAAGTGTAACACAAGACACTATTTTTATCACAATCCAAAATACACCAATAATTAATTGGGGGGAGGGGTGGGTGGTGGCATCTCCGATCCTTTGATATTTGCTCCCCCCACCACCCCTCCAGCACGCAATCTGCTGTACTCCGTTCACTATTCATTGTTGTAGCCACCACCTGACCCTTCTGGTATGGCAAGCTGCTCGGTCTTTATATGCTTCTAATCCAGCTCAGCTCCCAGGCCATCCATGAGAAGAAGGCACTGAAGGTCTTGAATACAGAAGAGGCATTGAACAGGGAACATGTGACTGATTTTTTTAAATAGAAATAAGAGCTTATCAAGAAGGGTGGGGAGCCGGAAGAGATTAACCAAAGAACTTAAATGCATATATGCATAACTCATGGACCCAGACAACAGTGTGGTGAAGGTGGGGTGGAGGGGGTCAATGGGGGATGAAAAGGGGTACATTTGAAATACTTTCAACAATAAAGATAAATTTATTTTTTTTATTTTTATCCTCACCCGAGGACATTTTTCCATTTTTTGTTCAGATAGAGCGGGAGGGAGAGAGAGGAAGAGAGAGAGAGAGAAACATCGATGTGAAGGGACACATCGAGTGGCTGCCACCCGCACGACCAACCAGGGCCAGGGACAAACTGCAACCGAAGTACGTGCCCTTAGCGGGAACCGAACCCGGGTCTCTCTGTACCGCAGGCCGACGCTCCAACCGCTGAGCCAAACCGGCCAGGGCAATAGAGATAAATTTAAAAAAGAAAAGCAATAAGAGCTTAGTTGACTAGGTTTTAATTGAGAGAATTAAAAGGGTAGTTTTGGGCCCTGGCCAGCTTTGCTCAGTGGTTAGAGCATCAGCCCGCGGACCAAAGAGTTGCGGTTTGATTCCGGTCATGGGCCCTCGGTTGTGGTTTGTCCCCAGCCCTGGTCGGGTCATTTGGGAGGCAACCAGTCAATCTCTCTCTCTCCCTCTCTCTCTCTCTCTCCCTCCCCCCTCCTCCCTTCCCTCCCTCCCACTCTGTCTGAAAATAAATGAAAAAATATCCTCAGGTGACGATTAAGAAAAATAAAAATAAATCAAAGGGAAGATTTAGGTATGGTGAGATCCTAGACCAGCAGTTAAATTGCTGCCCACAAGTGCCCAAACATTTGTGACGCAATGAGTAAAAATAAAGCAACTAAAGGAGTACAATGTGTGCTCTGCCCCAAATCACCCTGTTCGGCAGTCTGGCTAAAATTAGATCTGGAGTTCTCCGATTGTTATCTGTCTCACCAACCACAGACCACACTTCCTTTCTGAGGGAGAATAGCACCTGTACAGAACCTTCCAGGTACCCAGTTCAACTAACTCCAGACTGTTCAGTGATGTACTTACAAATTTTTCACATTTCTTTCTCCATTTAAAATGTGGGGAATTAATAGTAACTCATCACATGCAAAAATACCTCTGACATCACCATCTAAACAAGCAAATCAGCTCTCTGACAGTAGCAGCTAATCCTGCAGCAAAGGATAACATAAAACACTTACTGAGGCCCTGGCTGGTTTGGCTCAGTGGTAGAGCATCAGCCCACAGACCAATGAGTCCTGGGTTCGATTCCAGCCAAGGGCACGTACCTCAGTTGCAATTCGTCCCCCGGCCCTGGTTGGGGTCATGCAGGAGGCAACCAGTCGATGTGTCCCTCTCACGATGATGTTCCTCTCTCTCTACCTGAAGATAAATACAAAAATATCCTCAGGTGAGGATAAAACAAAAATTTTTAAAAAATTTTAAAAACCACTTAATGAGTTTGTATTTATTCTTCATTCAAATATTTGGGTGTCTAGTATGTTACGGAACTGGTTTAGGTATTTGCCTTACTCACTGATATATCTCAAACATTCGGCCCACCTATGCAACTTACTTTGAGGGGAAGAGGGAGGAAGGAGATGGGGACAGCCATCTTTATAGGTCAAAGTTATCTCTTTTTAACCAAAACATTAAAATTAGTTAAATCACTCTGTCATAAGATTAGAAGTTGGAAAGGACTCGATGCCAGAATCCTCTTTCCAACAGCCAGAGCAACGACCTTCTGACTTCTTGACCTTTTCTACCAACGGGGAGCTCACTACTTTGCAGAAATGGCGTACCCTTTCCTAGCAGCTGCAGTTGTCCTAGGCCAGAAGCTAGCTCCTCTGTCCGATCAAGTTACATTCCATAGAACACCTCAAAAACACGTCTCCTTCTTGTATATAATCACCTTTCAAATTACAGCAAGCTGTTCGGTAATCCTGTGTGGGCTTTTACGTGGGCTTTTGGAACTGGTCTGTAGTTTAAAATCCAATTGTCCCTATTCAGGGCTGCATCTGCCTATTTCCAGGCTACTGGCCAAAGATTTTTCTCAGATCACCAAGAGTAATTCTGCAGTTATATTTGCAAATTCTTTCAAAGTCTTGAGTCTAAGGACTTAAAACTCATGTACCAATCACATGGCATTCTCTTATCACTACCACTTTGAGCTTCAAAACAGCCTTAATGATGATCGTTACACACTTTCCAGTTTGAAGATCAAAGTGGTAACTTAAACAACCAAGTAGCAGAGGTTCTCAACCTTCCTAATGCCAAGACCCTTTAATACAGTTCCTCATGTTGTGGTGACCCCCAACCATAAAATTATTTTGGTTGCTACTTCATAACTGTATTTTGCTACTGTTATGTCTTAGGTGACCCCTGTGAAAGGGTGGTTTGACCCCCAAAGGGGTTGTGACCCACAGGTTGAGAACCGCTGAAGTAGAGGGAATGACCCAGCCAGTCGAAACCAGCCAGCCTCATTAGCGGACACAGTGGGTTCATAAATGGAGTGGCCAACGTGGTGGAAACAGAACCTCTTCATGGGCCAAACAGCACTGGTTCAAAAAAAAAAAAAAGGTAACTTAGCCAAAGTTTGAGGGCATGAGTGAATGGACCCAACCTTAACGCATGAATATGGGACTTGTGTTACTTACCAGTCGGTACATGCTGTCCGTCTCTTTGTCTACCACCAACAGTGAAGTCTGGTCTCCACCCTTTCTGATCATTTCCACCACACTGTCATGACTGAGGGATTCCACAGACTCGCCATTGACAGCAACTACCAGGTCATTGGTCTTCAAGCCAGCCTCCTCTGCTGGACTTCCAGAATCGATGTCTTTGATGATTTGACCTAACCACCCCCCAAAAGTAAATTATCAGAATACCGCCTGAAAAACGAGGATTTCTGCTGGAGCCCACGGCCCTGATAAAATAGATATACTAGGTGTGCTGAGTACAAATACGGACCCTCCCACTGAATCCTAAGAAGCCTGTAAGCATCCTATCCAGTCTCATTCCTTGCTCAGAACTCACTCCAGGAACTCAGCCTATTCATAATGAAAGGGTCTAAAAGAAAAATCATGTTTTACTAAAAGTGTCTGAAATTCCATCTTGTCAAAATAGTATGCTAAACATTAAGGGTCAGCACGTTCCCAGGAAGTCAGTGGGTATACTTGGATCCATATGTCTTACATAGAAGCTAAGCCATAAAAGAGGGGGGGAAGGGAAGAGTGAAGAACAAAACCAAAGAAATCAGACCCTAGGAGACTCATGCTGGCGTTTTAGCAGCAACAGTGACTGTGTATCGTGTGTGCATGCCAAGGTGTTCTAGGCTTTTCCTAACCTGAACTATCTTTACCAGATGCCTCTGTATGTCTCCCACTTTTTTTGTCCCTCACACAGTTTTAACAAGTTTTAGTTTCACTTTTCCAGCTAGTAGTTAGGCATCTCCAAATGGATGTCCCATAGAGCCCTCCCAATGTGATGTATTTCCCACACAGATCTGCTCTCAGACTCATCCTATGCAGTGTCTAACCAGGCCATCCCCCAATGCAACAGCATGGGCTTTGGAACTAAGCGGACCCAGTTATACCACAACTGTTTGACCGTATAGAATCACTGCGTCTTCTCAAGCCCTGAATTTCAGCAATTCTTGCAGAATTATTAGAACTAATGAAGATGTGGAAAGACCCCAAGACACTGTAGGCTTGATTTGTTCTTCTCTCTGGCAGTGCTCAAAATAACTTTGTTAACACCTCATAGACTGTAGGATCAAGTCCTAACTCCTCAACCCCCCGTTAAAGGTCCTTTACTGTCTCTCTCCAACCTACCTTTCTAACTTGGTTTCCTGTGCTTCACATTAGATGCCAATCAAACTGTGCCTGTGTCTCCTTGCTTTGTTACACAACTCCTATCTTTCTGAAACAGCCTTCGTGTCCCTGCCCCATCTACTTGTCCAAGTTCTATTCATACTACAAAGCCTAAGCTCAAGGGCCACCTCTACTGTGAGGCCTTCCAGCACCTTCTTAGTGAGAAGCGCTTGCTCCAACCTTGAATGCCTTCCACTGTGGACATGTGTGTCTTATTTCATCTAATGAGGAAGCTCTTTAACTGACAGATTCATCAGAATCACTTGATATTCTCAAAGGCCCTGAGGATGTTTTTATACAAAATGAACCAAATTAATAGTTGATGAATTCATGTAAACATATATAATAAAAAGAAAATAGCAACCACTAGGTATATAACAGTTTACATGGTCTGAACGTACATTCTTTTATGTTTGCACCTTCCCTAGGAGGACCTTTGTACTCACCTTGTTGAGCTACAAGGAATCGGAAAGATTCCTGGTTCTGAGTCTGAGATCCCGACCCACACCTGTGCCTCAGGTCTAGTGGTGTGCCGGGACTGCCTCACACCAGCTCTGAGCACCCACTGTGCACAGTCCTTCTCAACTTTGCATTCTGTGTCATGTTGTAGCTTGAAATCAGCCATGGTAGGGGTATTTATGCCACAAAAATCAACAAATGCTATACATTATGGCTTCACACACCCCCCACCACCACCCCCAGAGAGCCAAGGGTGTGCCCATCAACAGGCCCTACGTGACAAGGAAACTGGACCAGCTATGCTTTCTAGCTTCTTACTATGCCCATTAGGTTGGGGTTTGTAGGCCTCATGGAACTTCGGGCTCAGCCTGGGATGAAACCATGGGTGAATCCATGGCCAAGTTTCCTGCTCTCCTCATACCTTACCTTTTAGTTCTGGGCCTGCCCTCAGGTAGAAACCATAGCCATTGCTTCCCTTCTTCATCTCAACAATCCGAGGCTGGTGGGGTAATAATTTCAAACTGGCTGTTTCTCTCTTGAATTTTATATTCTGCTCACTATGGTGCTTGTCAGTTTCCTTGTCCACCAGCAAGAACATGACACGGCTTCCTGACTTCCTCACCTGCAACAACACACACAGGTGAGGACCAACATCAGCCTCCAAAAACGACGCTGGGAAAGGGGAAGGTTTCTGTGTAGAAGAACAGTGTCTAGATTCAACAGAAAACACGGGATGTAAGACCTAAGTTTCAGCTGTTACACTGTTTCCTGCCACCTTGCTGGCTTATCTACCTTCACTTCCAGTCGTTTTTCCCTGTGTTACGTACGGCCTCACATATGCCAAATGAACCCAAGTGAGAACTGGAATTCAGAAAACCCAGGAAGGTAGAACTTAGATGAAAGCAGGAAGAAGAGTTTGGAAAAGTAAAGGTCTATTTTGAAAAAGTATTCTCCTAGGAAAGAATGATAAGATTGGCCCATGTTCAAGATTCCACAGGACCTTAAAGGAAAACCTCAGACTGTTTTCCATGTGTCATGAGACTGCACTAGGACCTCCGATTTGGGGTAACTGGCCTTCCAGCCCTCCCCACGTGTAGCTCTATATCCATCGCCACGTTGGTCATCGTCCAGCTTCTATTAAAACGTTTTAGTAGCATAGGTTCAACATTGAATTTACTATAAATTCAGAGGGCATTCCCTATTAGGTACAATAAGATCCAACAGATAAAGTGGATTCTTTAGAACACTTCATTTCAAGACAGCATGAAACTAGCAAAGGCCTTATTCTCAAACCCGATGTCAACACTGCTTAGGCCTCTAGTGAGTCTGTTTGCTCTTCATACCGAAGGGCCACTTCTCACCATTATACTTCTCCCATCCTAGACCATCACTCCTACCCCGTCACTTCCAGCGAGAGCTAGTGAAGCATACCACAAGGAAAGTACCTTTTCAACCACTTCCTCATGCGTGGCATCTTCCACGTTCTCCCCGTTGACTTCAATCAAGTGATCATTGGCCAGGACGCCAGCCTTCATAGCCACACCTTGAGGTGTTATGTCAGTCAGGTACACTCCCTTTTGACCTGACAGAGAGCAGAGGTGGACAAATGTTACAACTCCATTAGATAGGAAGAACAACAGTGTCGGGTTTTCTCCCAATCATGTAAAACTAGAATTTCCCATTTTAGAGCCAACCCAAATGGCCTTTAGCTTCTGATTTGTAGGTTCATAATTATAGTTCCTAGCCAAGCTTGACACGGCCACTACTCAATCCATCTTTGTTGATTTGAATAGAATTTCTGAGCCCAACTAAAGGCAAAGAAGGAATCTCAGGTGGCACTGGCCTCTTGAACCAGAAAGTACCAAACCATCACCATACCATACTCCCTTTCTTTGCATTTGTAGAATTAGAAGACATCCACTCCATTCTGCCCTCTTTAATTAATACTGTTACCATCACAAGCCAGTGGAGTCAGTGACTCTCACTGACGCAGGCTGAAGAAGACAGGACAGGAGGGAGGGGAAGCAAACATGCATGCAGTCTGGACTCGTAGGTGGCGTGATTTAAGTGCTTCTGAAAGAAATGCTGTCAATTTTTTCAAGATACTAATATTCAGTCTAGGCAAAGGGTTGCTTTATAATGACTAAATAAATTAGTTGTAAGAAATAACAGTGACTGCCCGGCCAGCGTGGCTCAGTGGATTGAGCATCGTCCCATGGACTGGGAGGTCCCGGTTCGATTCCTGGTCAGGGCACATGCTCAGGTTGCAGGCTTGATCCCCAGTAGAGGGCGTGCAGGAGGCAGCCGATCCTGTTTCTCTCTCATATTGATGTTTTTCTCTCCCCCTCTCTCTAAAAAAATCAATAAAAACATTTTTTATAAAAAGAAAGAAATAACAGTAACTTAAACTCTGATTCCTCCTGTTTCTCCTGTTGCCTTGTTATAGCTCTGTCATGAAAAAAACATATTCTTTATGATTCTAATCTAAGCTATTCACCATGTACATTAGCCCAAAGGCCAAATGAATAGAATCTGAATCATAATTTTTTTTTTACCATTTTACTGATAACAGACTTTAAGAAACGCCAGCATCCCCTTGAGCACCTATACCATGTGTTTAATAACTGAGAGACTTGAGAAATATCTCTGATAGCTAGTTAAATAAGACTTGGGAACTAGTTTATGCTTACTATTGACTTGCTCTTTATCATTTACCAAATTATCTACAACCAGTGCCTCTCCAGTTCCAGAAAGAACATGGGAGGGCGGTGTTCAAGGTGGGACCACACAGCTCATGGCTCCAGCCTCGATCCCAGAGAAACCTTTATAGAACCTTTGTCCACTGAGCACAGGTCAACCTACACCTCTGAAAGTCCAGAAACAGCACTTCTAGTACTTCCTGATAGTCGGGGGTTTTCAAATCACTATGTACCTCTCAGCTAGAGGTCAGGGACACACCTCAGAGTGAGGCTGGGCCACAGTTGAGGGTACCATTGAAACGTCACAGGAGGGTGGGGATGTTTGCAGTGTCCTTAACAACTGTAACTGTCTGACACATCAATAGGTGCCCAAGAATTTCTTGAATAAATGAGTGACAACCTGGGCACTCCAAGAGAGGAAAAGATATATCATTCTTACTCAAAAGTATCTATTATGAAGAACCTCTTTTTTCTTGCTTGTTGTTCCCCAATCTGCCCTCCACCCTCACCTTAAGGAAGCTAGAAAAGAATATCACAGAAGCATCAACCTTCTGACCTTCTGGCCTCAAAGGCTCAGCCTAACGAACACTGGGCGTCAGGAGTGCCCAGCGCCACCCCACCCGACCCTGCTGCTGTCCAGTGTCTTGATACCTCGTTGCACAATTGGACAAGGCAAGGGTAGGGCTGGGGAAGAGGGGAGGGTGTAGCTGCTGTTGGATATCTCTAGCAACTGAAAAGTTAGACAAAGAAATCATTAATTGGTATCTTTTTTGGGGGGGGGAGTCGGTTGTTCATGTCCCCTCCTCAAGCTCACCTTGGACAGTCTTCAGAGAAAAGCCAAAGCTGCTTCCCTCCTTCACCAGGTAGCAGAGCCGCGGCTGGGTCCAGGTCTGTGCTCCTCCGTTCATCACAGGGGGCAGTTTCTTATCATTCAGACTTGGCTCCTTCTGACTCTGACCCAACTCTTTCAAGTCTACGTTTCTTTTTATGGCTTTCTCATAGGAATCTCCATCCAGAACTAGTAAAGTCACTGAATTCCCACTCTTTCTGACTAGATCCACAACCTAGGAAGTAGAAAGACAACTTTAACCAATAACCTCTACTAACCACCGGAGGCGGGTTGCTGGCTCATTGTCTGGCCCTGGAGCTTCTGAGAGCTAACCCCTGAGGGCCAAACAGCAGAGAGAGCCCTTGCCATCCCTGCCTCGGCCCACCCAAGGACCAGTGCAGATTGGGCTGGGCCCCTAGCGCTGTTGGACTGGAGAGTGTGGCCCAGCCCCTGCCCAGGGGACTCTTAAAAGGACTGATCCTTTCTAGGGGTGAATGCTACCTTAGAGCCCAACAGGTCCCCCCAGGTCTATGGAGAGTGTGGTGTAGTGAAAGAGCACCCCCTGGGAGGCAGGCAGAACTGGGTTCAGGTCAGGCACTCCCATAGGTTCACTGCGTGAACACAGGTGTCTGAGCCTCCACTTCCCATCTGCGAATGGCAACACGTACCTCATGGGCTGTGAGGAGGATTTAACAAACTCATGAATATGAAATGGCCTAGCATGGTTCCTAGCATGTAGCCAATATGCAACGCATTTTAGACCTGACATTACTGAAATCTAGGAATAATTTGTACGATTCTTGGTTAAGTGTGAGAGACTTGACTAGCTGGCAGAAAGTACCACCATAACAGTGTCCTGCCTTGCCAGGGGCGGCCAGGAAATCTCCGTCCACCCCCAAAACAATCATCAGCAAAGCTGTAGGCAATGACGATATCCTGGGAGAAATACCACAAATATCCATTCACCTGCATATGTTCTTCCTTGTCCACAAAGACGCCATTGATCCTAAGAACCCTGTCCCCATCCTGGAGGCCAGCCTTCTCTGCGGGGCTACCCTTCTCGACCACCCGGACCAGGTGGCCGGCAATGTCCTTCTCGATTCGCAGGAAGAAGCCGTAGCTTTGCCCTTCTTGTTTAGACAGCTTACATTCTCGGGGGTTGAAGGCGGAGGCCATTCTGTGATGAAAAACAAATGGATAAATCTATGGGGAAGAAAATCTAATTGGAGTGAGAACCCTGTCCTCCATGCCCTATAATCTTATTCTTCTAATCACACCCAATCTAGACCATTTGAGTAGCAACCCTGGGGGTACAGGAGGCTTCCTTCCAGTACTTACTAACGATTTTCAAATCTATTTCCCCAAATATAATCTTTTTACTTGAGTTTCCGATGCATATATTTGTGTGGGTCCTAGACACAGATGCTTTCATTTCAATAGCTCCAAATCCAGATTCTTCTTTGTCCCTTGACCTAAAGAAATTAGGTCCAAAGACATGACCTAAATTTTTAAAGAACATACAAGCCCATTTTCATGCCAATATTTTAAGTGCCTGGAAAGTTCTGGGCACTGGGGATAGATCTGTAGACAAGATGGGCCCAGGTGCCTCTCACAGGGGGAGAACATGTTTTCACATGAACCCAGTTCTGCGGGGAAAGAGAGGCCAGGGAAGAATCAATGAAAAGGGAGAACATAACCAAAGGTCTGGGAGTAGGGAGGGGGCGGGAAGAATCAAGAATGGCTTCTTGGAGGAAGATTTCCAAGACCTGAAGGACTCTAGGAGTCGGGGGGCAGGACAGGACAGGGAAGACCTCAACTAGAAAACTGAGCTGCCAGGCCGCAGAGCTGGCCTGATACGTTGGAAACGAGGTAAAGGTGGTTTCTGGAACCTAAAGTTCTAGTCAGAGCAGAGGAGGGACGCCCGCTAGAGAAGGATTCCCACGGCCAGATCGGATGTCCCCCTCCGGAAGCAGCGTCCATTCCCAGGCCTCCTTCCCCTCCCCCTGCCCAGCTGCAGGGACAGGTTCCCAGGCCGCAGGGGAAGCCAGACCAAGTGTGAAAACCAACAGCTGCAGCTCTGGCACCCGGTTAGTAAGAGGAGGACGCACCAGTGTCCCTCACCCTCCGGGCTTGGGCTCCTTTATTCATAGGAGAACCAGAATGGGGCCAACTGCAGAGGTGAGGCTGGAGGCCGGGGCAGAGAGCTAGACACCGCTGCTAACTGCCTGCGGGGCAAGCCCTCCTGTTCCCCTCATCACAGTTCTCTACCAGTAAATCAGAAAATAAACTGGCGGCCCCTTCCCTCCCGGAGAGACAGGAGCTGTGCGTGGGGGTGGAGGACGAAGAATAGACAGCAATGTGCGCCCGGCTCCCTGGAGGCCACTCTGTGGTCATTCGAGATAGCCATCTCTGACCTTTGTGCCCACAGAGGCAGACGTACAGTACACACTGGGCAGAAAGCCTCCCACTGCCTGACGACTCGGCCACTTCACGTGGCCTCAGCAGAGCCTGGCAGCCACACCACCAGGGGCATGAGTTACTAAGCAGCCAAGAAAACAATAAACAAGTAGGCGATGTTTCAAGTGATCTCTTTCCCATGGCTCTGGGCCTGAACACTCCCACTGAGTATCGGGGGGAAAGTGAAACCATGATCACTGTGGCCACTGCTGAAACCTGGGAAAGCTTAGGGGTTCTGCTCTGTCATGACCAACCGCCAGGAAGAGGCCGCGTTGGGCAGAAAGGGGAAACGCAGGGAGTGAGGGAGAAGAAGGCATCACCAGAGGAGGGTTTCTCACGTACGAGCACCTGTGTCTGCCCTCCGACTTTCTGACCTTTTACTGATCTTTCTGCAGGTCAACTAGCCTGCAAGTCTTGGGAACATTTTTCAGCTTGAATCCACCTCTGTATCCAAACTTAACTGTCCCCATCCCTATCCGTTCTCAATTTCATAGCACTGAAAAGCCTTGAAGGAAAAACAAAACAAAACAAAACAAAACACAAGGCCTTCTGAAGTTCGGAGGTAATTATAGAGAAACCTCATCCAAATCCTACAAAATTCAAAACATGTCCTTAAAATCAAAGTAAAGGCCGGTAGAAGCTGTGTTGTCATCGAGAGAGAAGTCTGTTTGTGGTCAGCATCTGAATGCTGATTTCTAAGGCACCCACCCCGAAAATGCATTGATCTCCCACAGGATCTTAATCTCACTGCAGGTCAAGGATGGAAAGTGAAATCTGTGCGAGTGGGACTAGTCCTGTGTTGGGGGAGGAGGGGGAAAGAAGCAAAGTGTTCTTGTGTCTCAATAGAGACTAGAAAGCCTGGTATACAAGGAAACACAAATCCCTATTTCTAGACAAAAATCTCGTTGTTTTTTGTTTGTTTAAAGGTTTTAGACAAACAGTGGTCACTCAGTTCTGCCCTATGTCTTTGAAGCCTTGGGCACTTGAGGTCCAGGTTTCTTTTCACATCTGTGGTTGAAGCCCAGGGAATTAGGCAATTCACACCAACAGAAACACTGACCGAGGTGCTCCCACTGGACAACAGTGACTGCTCCAGCCCAGCCTGCCTCCTGTCACCACATCGGCCTCCCCACCACGCAGCCTCTAACGGCTTAATGCCGGTGCCCATGCTGAACTGATGATATATTTAACAACTTCAACTGTACCGATGGAGAAAGCTGATCAAAACACCAAAAGCCTAGCCGTCCCTGGGGCCCTTGGGCCCGAAAATCATGCTTCTTTGCCATTTTGTAGAGAGACGATTAAACTAGGAGTCAAGAGGCTGAGTCTGGTCCAGCTCCAGTCCTGGGTCTGTCTTGTCCACGTCCTGGTTACACTGGGCTCCAGAGCAGAGCTGAGACAGTCACCGCTATGTGATGAGGCCGTCTGGGAACTGGACACAGGGCCTAGCCAGGAGGATCTTTGTATTTAAGGACGCTGTTTCCTAGTTCCTCAGCCCCCACCTCCAGCTTCTGCCTCCTGAGAAAATCCAGAGATCAGTCTCCCGTGGTGGATAGATATGTAACTAGGGAAGATCTATGGATTCCTGTGATCTCACAACAGAAATCTAAAGCCAGAGTCCGTTAAATCTTCAGCAGGATTTATTCCCAAGTTCAAATAGCCAAAATAAAATACTGGAAATGCAAGAAAGCTATATCATTACTGAGCTCTGGGATAAAAGTTAATTCTGGGCAGCAAAGTCGCTTGTGTGTGGAAAGGAGAATCGAGCGCCGACTGGCAGACAGGAAGACTCGGGTGAGTGCCAACGAGATCTTTCGAAACCAATCTGAATTACTAACCATACCTGTAGACCCATTTCTCCCAAAGGAGTTACGTGATTGCTATAAGGATAGAGAATGATATCCTTGTGGTCAAAAAGAAAAACTAGGTACATTTTAGACGTTAGGAAGGCGAGGTCGTGACTACAAGGGAGGGTTCGGTAAACCTCTGGGTGCGGCCAGAGAAGAAAGAACTACTGGGCTTTTTCCTACATGAAAGAAACAGCCGTCGGGACCCAGGAGACTCTTCCCAAGTCCAAGGTGAGCCCAGGTTTCTCAGCTCCCAGGCGGCCCTCAGCCAGGGCCCCTCTGTGGTCCTGAGTCAGCCCTCGGCCTCAGCAGCAGGTCTGCACAGGGCCAGAGGTCGGAGCCGGAGTGGCTCATGACCGCACGAGTGAGCCCCAAACACCAGAGGGGCTCAGCTTAGTTGGCCGGGGCTGAGAGGAAGTCTCATTTCCCCTCAGTCTGTGTGTTTGGGGCTGGAAGCTTGGGGACTTTCTGAAGCTGAGCTAGTTGGGCAAAGAGTGCGACTCCATTAGAGTGAATCCCTGTGTCAGCAAGGCTTACAGTGCAGCATGCTTGTCACCCTGCACATTGAAAAGCTCCCTGTTCTGCCCGGCCGGTGTGGCTCAGTGGTTGAGCAGTGACCCACGCACCAAGAGCTCACTGGTTCGATTCCCGGTCAGGGCACATGCCCAGGTTGTGGGCCAAATCCCCAGTGGGGGGCATGCAGGAGGTGGCCAATGGATGTTCTCTCTCACTGATATTTCTCTCTCTCCCCCTAAAAAAATCAATGAGGAAAAATAAATAAATAAAAATAAAAAGCTCTCTGTTCTGCCTTGGCTAGTATGGTTCAGTGTTAGAGTATCAGCCCAAGAACTGAAGGGTCACAGGTTCAATTCCCGGTCAAGGGCAGGTACCTGGGTTGCAGGTTCGATCTCTGGCCCCAGTTGGGGTTGTGCCAGAGGCAACTAATCGATGTGTTTCTGTCACATCAATGTCTCTCTCTCTCCCCTCCCCCGTGCCCCTCCCTCTTTCCCTTCCACTCTATAAAAAAAGAAAAAATAACCTCATGAGGATTAACAAAAAAAAAGGAGGGGGGCTTTCTCTTCTAAGATAATTGCTATATGTAGAAATGTCCAATTTAAAAAATCACGTGGGGACAGGGTTAGGAATGAAGGGATCTTGATCCATGATCTCCTGAGAAATGTTTGAGAGTCTCAAGATCAGTGGGAACCTGACAAGAATACAAAACATTTTCCAATACAAAAGTGAACACAGCCCTGGCCAGTTTGGCTCAGTGGTAGAGCATTGGTCTGCGGACCAATGAGTCGCAGGTTTGATTCTGGCCAAGGGCACATACCTCGGTTGCAGTTCGTCCCCAGCCCTGGTCGGGCTTGTGCAGGAGGCAGCCAGTCGATGTGTCCCTCTCACGTCGATGTTTCTCTCTCTCTCTCTCTCTCTCTCCCTCTCTCTCTATCTAAAGATAAATAGAAAAACTTCCTCAGGTGAGGATTAAAAAAAAAATCGGGCCCTGGCCAGTTTGGCTCAGTGGTTGGAGCATGGGCCTGTGGACCAGAGAGTCCCGGGTTCAGCTCCTGCTGGGGACACGTACAAAAAAAAATCGGGGGCAGAGGTTGGGATCGGGAGGAGGGTGCCAATGGGGGGAAAAGGAGAAACATCTGTAACAAGAATAAATTAATAAAAAATAAAAAATCTTTTAAAAAGCCGAACATGCAGTAAAAGCAGAATTATGTGTCTAACTTCTTGAGCTTCCAAGTATCGTTCGTAAAGGAATCCTGACGTTGCTACAGACCAGATAAAACACAGACCAAGGGAAGCAGATCATTCTGAGAAAGGAAAAGAAATGACAACTGCTGAGGAAGTGAAGTCTTCAAGAATA